CAAGCAGGACAAATTTAAAATACTGAGGCAATATTTGCTATAAATGTAAATGGATACAAATGAGGTTTAGAGATATTTTATTTTATTTAATTCTGTTATTCATATAGCATTTCGTCCAACTTAATTTCATTTATGAAAACAAATTCAATATAAGGCTATGGATGTAATCCCTCAAATACAGCAATCACATAGGATAAGGGAATTTTTTTCTCCAAGTAGCTCCTGTAAATAACTATAGTCTGCCTAACAATTTTTGAATGCAGAAACTGTTCCTTTAAGTCCTAACAGTTTTGCTCATATATATATATTTTCAAATTTGACAAAACACAAGGAAACATTTGTCGTTTGGGATGAAATAATAATTAAAGAGAACCATTTGCCCAACTACATCATATTAGTAGCCCCAAAGGAGACTAAATTTAAGTAGGTATAAATAAGTTTACTGTCTAGCATATACTATTTGAGAAAACTATATTAAGATACTTAATGTAATCACTTGTTGGAGAACTAGTTTATAGAATGCATTTGTTTTCCTAAATGAAATATGAAGTGCCTTAGACACTTAGAATAGTATTAGTCCAGAAGGACAGCCTAGGAAAACTTTGTATTTCTTTGGCAGTTAAAAACTGAGTAGTTCTGTAGGTTTGACATTAACAGTCTCACCAACACTGAAGATAGGAGTGAGTTCATGTGTTCTTTGGGATATTTTACATTGTTTCTTCAGGACAGCTGTAACTTTTGTTGGAGGTCTGTGATCTCAGGAGAGTTTGAACCTGGTTTTATTTTTTAAAAATTATGAATTATATTAGTCTTCTCCTAGAACTGTTTTAAAAAATACAAATAAAGTAATAAGAAAAGTTAACGGGTTTTGTGCTTATTATTGACTGGTTTTGTTTTGTTGTTTTTGATTTTTCTTTAACCAAACAGAAAAATAAAGCCTTACAAAACTCTGTGAAATCTTTTTTTAAATAATCTTCAACACTTTTTCATTTTCTTTTTAAAATGGAATGTTCTTTATTTACTTTTTGTCACATTTTAATTGTTTTTAGAGCCTTAATAGCTGAAAGCTTTGAGAAATCAAGTGCATGCTGCTGAAAATATTACTCCAGAAAAATTGAGTTGAAATCAAAATTCTATTTGTTTGTTTTTTTCTCATAGTCAAAATATATGGAAATGTAAAAAAAGTAGTAGCAAGACCTTTAAAGAGAAATTTTCAAACTATGGTATTGGGATATTTGTTGCTATTATTGCATGTGATAAGTTAATTTTATTTTTAAGATTTCTATCCTTTTTATAATTATCATCTCTCATGAAAGAAGTTTGTGATAGTTGGACTAGACAAGGAAAAAAACATTTTGTTCTGAATTTCTGTTACTTATGTACCATATTTTCTCTATTTGTGGATGATGAGTGCATTCCTAGGTTTATTATCTTGAGCACAATATTTTCTTTACAAGTTTCTATACATAACAGACTGCACCCAAGGGTGCTAAAAGAACAGGTGAATCTCCTTCTGAGGCCATTTTCCTATCTTTGCTGGTTTGTCAAGCTTATGAGAGATAAATAAAGACTGGAAAATGTTTTATGACCTTTAACAAAAGCCTGACCTATGCAAATGCAGGCTGACCTTTATTCAGTTCTTGGGGAAATCATGGATCAAGTCTTCTTGGATGCCCTTTTCTGGCATGTGAAGAAAGTGATTGTGAATGCCTAATTCATTAATTAAATTAGCAAGCTGATTGCTCTGTAATAGGTTACTTGGTCACTGGACAGGGGAACAGCAGTAGATGTTGCCTACCTTAAAACTTACCAAAGCTTTTCACTCTGTCCACTCATCCAGAGTTGGATATGTGAATATAATGTCTTGACTTGAATGCAAGAATTTTTTCAGAGATAACTGGATGGAAGACAAAATGAAAACAAAACACCAAAACAAAACCAACCAACCAAAAAACCCCCAAAATCAAACAAACAACTCCCAACCTCCCAAAAAACCCCAAAACCAAAACCAAAAAACCCCAACAGGTTCAATGATAGGATAGAGGGTAGTAGTAAATAGGTCAGACTGTAATGGAGGCCAGTACATCCAGTTTTGAGAGAGTGATTAACTGCAGTGACTTCAGCAGAGACCTGCTGAGGAGATCAGTGGCTAGAGCACTTGCCCTGTGAGGAGAACCTGAGGGAGTTGTAGAAGTAGGGTCTAATATTAGCCTGTCAGTATCTATTGAGAAGACAGAGTCAGGCTCTGCATTGGTGCGTGATGGAAGGCTGGTGGTGCAATGGACAAAGTTAGAACAAGACTAGATATAAGGAAAAACTGTTTTTTACCACACAGACAGTCAATAACAGGTTTACCAGAACATTCTTCATCCTGGGAGGTTTTCTGGACCCAACTGGATAAATCCCTGAGTACCTGGTCTTAGCTCAAAGCTGGGTCTACCTTGAGCAGGAGCCTGGACACCTCCTGAGGTCCCATCTCAGGGAGAGGATCAAGAAATCCAAGGCACAGCTGGAGCTGAGCCTGACTAGGGAATGAAAAATAACAAAGAGAGTTTCTTCAGCTACATAGGAGAACAAAGGAAGATGGAAGAAGTTGTACCTGCAATAATGAGTGAAACAGGGGACCTGGCTACAACAAACAAGGAGGAGGCTGAGGTACTCAAAAATCTTTCTGCCTTGTACTTCACTAGCAAGTGCTCTAGCCACACCACTCACCTCACAGAATGGAGACACGGACTGGGAGAGTGAAGTGTCTCCCACCACAGAAGACCACCCAGGTTAAAGACCATCTAAGAAACCTGAAGGCATATAAGTTGATGGGGCCTGATGAGATGCATCTGAATGTCCTGAGGGAACTGACAAATGAAATTAAGCCACTAGCCATTGTCTTTGAAAAGTTGTGGCAGACTGTTGAAGTTCCCACTGAGAGGAAACGGAAAACAGAACCCCCATTTTAAAAAACTTAAAAAGGAAGACCTAGGCAACTACAGGCCAGTCAGTCGCATTTCTGTGCCTGGCGGGATCATGAAGCAGGTCCTTCTGGAAACAAGGAAGATAAGGAGGTGATGAGTGACAGCCAGAATGGCTTCAGTACAGGCAAATTGTGCCTGACAAACTCAGTCTCCTACATTGGCACTACAGTGTTGGTGAATAAAGGAATTGCATGACCTGGCATGACCTACCTGGGCATGTGCAAAGCATTTGGTACTGTCACATACAACATCCTTATTTCTAAAATTGAGAGACATGGATTTGACAAATATGCTACAAGTGAATAAGGAACTGGCTGGATGGTGACCCTCAAAGAGTTGCAGTCAACAGTACAATATCTGGGTGAAGACCAGTGATGAGTGGTGTCCCTCAGGGGTCCATACTGGGACCAGTGTGATGCGTTTCAGCGACATGGACAGTGGGATTGAGTACACACTCTACAAGTTTTCTCATGACTCCAAGCTGTGTGGTGTGGTCAGCACACTGAAGGGAAAGATGACATCCAGATAGACTTGGACAGGCTTGAGAGGTGGGCCTGTGTGAATTTCATGAGATTCAACAACACCAAGTGCAAGTTCCTGCATCTGGATCAGGGCAGTCCCAAATATGGCTATAGGCTGGGTGAAGAGTGCATTGTGAGCAGACATGCAGATAATGATTTGAGGATATTGGTGGATGAAAAATTGATATGACCTTCCCATGTGCTCTTGCAGAGCAGGAACTTAATTGCACATTAGGCTGCATCAAAAAAAGCGTGGCCAGCAGGTCAAGGGAAGTGATTCTCCCCCTCTACTCCACTTTTGGGACACTCCACCTGAAGTACTGCTTCCAACTCTGGGGCTCCTGCCATGAGAAAAACATGAGCTCGATAGAGTGGGTCCAGAGGAGAGCCATGAAGATGATCAAAGGGCTGGAGCACCTCTCTTTGTGGAGATCTTATAGCAGCCTTCTGGCACCTAAAGAGGGCTTACAGGGAAGATGGGGAGGGACTCTTCTTCACTGAGTGCAGTGCTAGGATGAGAGCTAATGTGTTTAAACTGAAACAGGATAGACTTTCATTGAATGTAAGTAAGACATTTTTCATTATGAACAGGTGTCCCAGAGAAGTTGTGGATGCCCCATAATTCAAAGTAATCAAAGTTAGATTGGACAGGGCTTTTAGTAACCCCATCTAATGGAAGTGTCTCTGGATATGGGAGGAGAGTTGGAACTAGAGGATATTTAAGGTCTCTTCCAACTCATACCTATAATTATGGCTTGAATTGCCCTGTGAACTTTTGAAAGGCATGAGTGGAAATGCTTTTAGAAGATCCCTCCATGCCTCTAACTACCACTGAAAGTTCAGAACACGGTGCAATTTGAGAGAATATAATAGCTCTAACAGTTGTAGAAATAGGACAGAATCATTCAGATTCCTTGCAGTTAAGACTACTGAGGTAAAATGTTATTTGAGTAGAGCTGGTTTTTGCATGTGTTTACATAATATGTGTGTGTATAAGTTTGTTTATATACCTACCTATTTATGTCTAGCCTCTTTTTGACTCTGGGCAATTCTTTTCTGTCACTACTCCATTTCTTTGCCATTGGTTCGTCAGTCTGACCTGTATTGAAATGTGGACAGGTCTCTATTTCTACTTTTAAGAGCTCATGTACTACTGGTGATATTTTACTTAATGTTATTATTGTCTAAAATTTTACAAAATAAAATTAAATTTCAAGTAGTCTATAAACATAAACAGTTCTGATTTTTCTAAGGCCCTAGTCTTGTAATGGTTTAACACTAGCCAACAACTAAGCACTACACAACCACTCACTCATTCCCCCTCATGGGATTCCTTACACGAAATTTCCTCCTTAAGAAGCTTGAATATAGAATCAGACGCGGTGGTGCATTTTGGCAACTGTTCTTATGTAGAAGATTTTAATTTGCTTGAAATTTTCTAGATGCAGCATATACCTGGAAGAATTTTGTTATATTCTATAAATAAATTTCTTTTTTATTTCTACAGAAATTGAAAAGGAAAGCTGTGGGGATCCTGGAACACCATTGTATGGTATCAGAGAAGGGGATGGATTTTCTAATCGTGATGTTTTAAGATTTGAGTGTCAGTTTGGATTTGAATTAATTGGAGAGAAATCTATCATTTGCCAAGAAAACAACCAGTGGTCTGCAAACATACCAATCTGTATTTGTATGTACCAAATATTTTCTTATTATTTTTAAGACATAACATTATGATAAGTTTTTACTTATAGGTAATAATTTGTGTGATTGATTTCAGAGTTAGCACAATACAATTAATTCTGCTGGCTGGATTAATTTACTTTTGTTCAGTAATGGGTATGCTTAATGATTATGCCCAAGACAGGTTCTAGAACTGCTAAAATACTTTTTTCTCTTATAGTAACTATTAAAGCATTTGTCTTTATGTGATTTGATACAGTGTTTTATTATTGGCTTTTTTTGGTAGGATTCTGTAGATTTTATATGTATGATACACTTTTTATATCTAGTCTTATATGTTAGTATATTACCTTACGTTAGAAGTTGCTGAATTGAAATCAAGGTTTTAAATTATTTACATTTTTTCCATGTATTATATATGAATACCTTTTAGCACTTACATTATCATAGACATTTATAGCTCTCTTCCAGTTGCATTATACAGCATAAGTAAAACCAATGTTGTGATACGTGTTTGTGGCAGCACCTGTCTTAAATTTTCCACTAAAATAGTATGGATCAAATATATTCAGAGTGCAATCAGATGCTTTCATCTCTGCAACTCAATTTAGTATGGCTTAACTGAATTGGTTTAATATAAAACGTTATCCTGATAACAACAAAATATCTCTGTTGTCTCTTTGAGGCTTGTTAATTTTTGGTGCCGCTGTGTGAACAACAAATGATAAGAGCACTATTGACTTTCTGCCCCTTTAATGTGCTCAGTGGGAGGTCTGCTCATCTAAATACTTCCCTACAAGAGAAAATAAGTGGTGCCAAGTGATTGTTATCATGGCTAAATTGTAAGGACTTCCGTGGATTTCCAATGCAACAAGGATGTTCTTCATTTCTTGGGGGCTCTGCTTGAGAGGTAGTTTTATTGAGAGGAAGGGAATACGAAGATTAAAAAAAATGAACAACCTTTCTTCTAGATTCACAGATCATTACAAATAATGAATTATTCAGTTGAGATAATCAGCAAGTTTTAAGATCTCTTACAAAAATTTAGCACTAAAATAAATCCTTATTGAAATGTGTTATTCTGTTATCTAACCTCTCTCTCTTTTTGACAGTTCCTTGCCTTTCCAATTTTACTGCACCGATGGGAACAGTTCTTTCACCTGATTATCCAGAGGGATATGGAAATAATTTAAACTGTATCTGGACAATAATTTCAGACCCTGGGAGCCGAATCCATCTCTCCTTTAATGACTTTGACTTGGAATCTCAGTTTGACTTCCTTGCAGTTAAAGATGGTGACTCTCCAGATTCCCCCATAATAGGAACATTTACTGGTGCTGAAGTTCCTTCCCATCTTACCAGTAATGGCCATATTTTGCGTCTGGAATTTCAAGCTGACCATTCGATGTCAGGACGTGGATTTAACATCACTTATAACAGTGAGTAATAGTATTTTTTTATTGTGTATGCATATTTTTCAACATACAGTTTAGGAGGTAGGCATAAGTATGTAAACATGACACTATGGTAATACACCTTCAGAAAAATGCTACATTAGGCGTTTGGATTATTGTATAAATTCTGTGCTGGGACTGAAGGTATGTGTATATTTCTCATTTGTGGCTTTAGAGATAAATATGTGCATATTTCTCATTTATGGCTTTAGAGATCATTGTTTGATGACTGTCAAACCGGGCAAGTTTCAAATTGTGTAACAGGACTTTACTGAATTTGCTGATAGTGCAATTTGTGCTACATAATATTAATCACCATCATTACATGTACAAAACAGTTATTCTTGAGAACTCATATGTTAGTTTAGCTGTGAAGGTAAATATTATCCTGGAGCTAATGATTGCAGTGTGTGGTAGCTCCTAGTCAATGCAGTTAAAGTGAGCAGCCATAGGAGCTCTTATCTAAATAAAACCACAATAGATTTGTTTTCTTTTTCTCTGTTTTACCTTCCTTAAATACATTTACTGACAGCATAATGATAATAATTGAAGGTTATATTAAAAATCTTCTCCAGTACTAAATACTGTTAGCACTTATCCACCTTAGTTTTTCCTGGCAGAACTGTTACGTTTCTTCTGAAGGACATATGAAGAGCTGCCTATGTTGTGTTTCTATCAAGTTATTTGGCATTTATCTCACACCAAAACCCAGTGCAGATGTAGTGAAGCAATTTGTAAAGCCACAGCATGAATAACTGCAAAATACAGTGCGAAACTTTCCTGGGAGCATATGCAGCAGTGAAATGAGGATTGAGTTCAGCCAAGTTGTTCCTTTTGGGTAGTTGGAAGGAAATTGGAAGGACCAGAAATGCCTGAAGTTCCAGTCTTGCAGCTCTGTGTAGAGGATGGTAGGGATAAGGGAGTGTCTGCTGGGGGGATCTGCATATCCTCCAGAGTTTCTCCACCTCATCCACCTCACACATTTGTATTTTTTGTTTGTTTGTTTGTTTTCTTTCTGATGGTAGAGGCGTTCCATGCCAACAAATAGACAAAATAAGCAAAATATGATGAATATTTTCACATTCCAAAAAGTTTGATGTCATGAGCAACCAGTACTATTCCTGTCTTTTTCCCTATTGTCTAAGAGTTTATATATAATTCCAGAGGCTTACTTAAGATGTAGGAGAATGTTCAACTGCATCATTGGAAGGAGACCTGTGTACCTACATTTCCCCTCCCCAGAATAATGTGTTACCTGCTTGTCTGTGTGGGAAAAAAAATTAATTGTTTAAGATGTTTTACTTAAAAAAACCCAAAGCAAAAACAAAAACACCAAAACAAAAAACCCAAACAAACAAACGACCCCCCCAAAACAAAACCAAAACCAACCAACCAAAAAAAAACTCAAAACAAAACAAAACAAAACCACCAAAAAAAACCCAAATAGGATCCTTTTAATGAAAGAGGAAATGAGATTAAGTGAGGTTTGTCATTGAGAGACCCAGAATCCACTTTTTTTTTTCCAAGGAATGCTAAGAATTAAAATTATTTTCATAATATTTCAAGGACCAAATTCCCCTATGGATCTCTACTTTTCTTACATCATCTTTCACTGTCCGTCTTTGATTTTTCTCTCTCTTTTGTTTTGGTTTTTTTTAGGTTGTCAGTCTTTCAGAGAAGTATTTATTAAGACTTAGAGATGAGCTGACAGCAGATTATTCTGCAAACATTCTTTTTCCAATTTTGTCTTATATTTCAACTCTCAGCCCTCTATCTTATCTGCTTCATCCTCAGGTCATTTCTCACAAATGTCGAGTGTAAATATGAAGAAAATGTGGTGACTTCTTATTGGTTTCTATACATACAAGTTATCATTGCAAACTAAACTTAGAGTGGTAGCTAAATATCTTAGTAGTTTAACTAATTATTGGAAAGTCAGTGTTTATTCAGAACTACTGAAATATAAAATCACTTTTAATTAAAATGAGATATTGAATCCATATTTCTTTACAGGTCGTAATATTTGCTCTATATTTTTTCTCTTTCATGTTCTTTTAACATATTTAAGAGTTTTTGCTTCTTTTCATGATTGTATTTAAGCTTGAATAGAGGTATTCATGTGTCTGTTAAACTCTGTAGCTAAAATCTACTTACAAAAGCAAGAAAATCTCAAAAAAATGTGTCTACTCTTTCTTCAGTAAGGACAGCTGCAGTCTGATAAATTACAGAAGTAATCTTTCCATAATAAATAGTTTAAGGGCAAGAGAGATGATAAAAAAAAGGAACTGGTAGAATTTCACTCTGTCTTAGCATTTATAAACCCAAAGTTAATTAAAAATATGCATTTTCTTCTAACACACCAGTTGGTATATTTCAAAGTTATCAGTCTTTTTTTGCCCCCTTCAAGAGTAGGAATAGTATGTCACAAAAACAGTACTTGATTACTTCTTTAAAAAGAATGTAGGCTAGTGCTGTAAATATCTTCATTGATGTGGAGGGGAATGGATGTTTCATTCCCATGACAAAGGAGCTGATGCAAAGGAGACTAGAAAGTTGTGAGGTCCTCCATGAGTAGGCATTCCACATGCCAACCTCCCTTTGGGCTGATGTAGATGGATGTTTTGAGATGGAGAACTTCTTCTAGATTGATTCAGGCTAGCTGGTGGACTGCTTTGAGCTGTTTCTCATTGATTGGGGTATAGGTGGTGCTGGGCAAATATTTTTGTATAAGTTTAGAGCTGCTGTTTCTCTCAGTTACGCAGATATTTCTTGTTGCTCTTTTCATAACAACTATTTAATTGTGCTTTATCTAGCAAAAGCTACAACCTTAGGAGTTGCATAGTGGCCTGCTAAAGGTCAAACGATGGGCCTCTGACGTCAGCCTATTTAATTCAGTGATTTGAGCTCTGTAGACCAAAACATTGACAATCCCAGATGATGGGTTTATATTTAAACAGGGCTTTTAGTGTGTTTCATTGCTGTGATAGGGTATGTTCATTACAGCCCATTTTTCCTGGCACTCTCTCCTGCTAGACTTTTTCAGTCTCAGTACTTCTCAAGACAGAATTCTTCAAACTGTAATGTACTAAAAAAAGTGTGAGTTTACATGTATATTCTGAATAAGCTACCAGTTGTTTGCATAGCTTTAAATAATATTTCACAATAATTTTGAGTATGAAGTATCTCTTTGATATTCTCTTAACTTTGGTTTATTTTCTGATATTTTCCTCTGAAAGGATTACCTTTGCTAGCTATTGCTAGACTTACCAGCTGAAACTCTTCATAGGGCAATCCACTAAAATAATTAATTATGCCACTGGGCCACTCCTTGCTGGTGCTATTTTCCAAAGATATTTTAAAGCAGATTTTAGACCGGATGAGTTCTGATTAACTTCATTTCTGCCTTCCAGTCTCATGAGATCTCTGAAGTTTCTCCCCTGCACTATTTTTTTTTTTAAATACAAAATGCATAGTTTAACATCCTTTAGAGTTAATATCAGAATATCAACATCACTCTGATCTATCACTATGCTTCCTGGCATTTTTCCAGATATTGCTTAGTACACCTGTACAGTCATGGTAGTTGATGAGTATACAAGTCAGGAAAACTAGTTGATAAGGAACCATGGTTTCTTGATTTATTGTTGATGAGTAATATATAAATATAATTAAGGATGTACCCATGTGTTCTTTTTCTTTTCAGCCTAAGGCTTGTATAATAGGACAGCTCCACCATGAAGCTTTTTAGAAGCATCAGCAGACTGTATTTTGCCCATCAAGTAATGTAACTGCAGCCAGGCTAAGAAAGTGACTGCTGTTGTTGGGAAGGATTATCTTTCACTATCTTGCCTCCCAAAGCCATTCTATACAGTACAATTAATTCCATAGGAGCAGCAGTTCCTGAGCTGAAATATAGAGCAATGAATTGATTTTTGCAGGCTAAATAAACTGGTGTCATACACAAGCAAGCTAAACCCGGAGTTAAAATTTATCTACATTTACAGATAACAATATTGAAAATCTATCTCTGTGTTGTCTGAAGGTAGTAAGAGAAACAGACAATCAATTCCCTTCCTAAAAGTGGTGACTGTGCATAAAGTATTGGAAAAGTTTTTGTAACCCCCATGAAAAAGTATGGGATTGCATAATTTTTAATGTCATCCTTGAATGGTAGACAACTATTCAGTGAAACCATGATTTTCATTCCCAATATCTGTGGTGTTTCCTAAGTCAAAATGTCAATAAATAAATGCTTTCTCTTGTCTGTTGCTATGATTTGTAATACCTTTGTAATGCAACATCTGAGAAATCTTTCTGCTAAGTTAATGAAATATTACTTTTTTAAAAATTTCATGGGTATGTTTTGTCTAGCAGACATATTAGTAAAACTACAGGGAAAAAAAAAAGTGAAAAACATCTTTTCGGGCCGTAGTCCTTTCTGATGTCTCCAAATGTAAGAATATTTCTGAAGATACAATTTGAAGTCATCATATGTGATGAAGGTGGATATCATGCTTGTAATATTTGTTCTCACTGCAAAATCATCATTCTGAAGAATATAGGATATATGCACAGTGTTCATAAATAAAACATCAAAATACAATAGCTAACCAATACATATATTTTAATGATAGTGTTAAATATGATCTTTCTTCTCCAAGTTTAAGGTGTGTTCTGTAGTAAAAGACATGGACAAGCTTTGTTATAGTATCTAGATGTATACACATAAATTAAAATTTTTCACTTTGTCCATAGATAAACGTGAAATTTTGTACATACTAGGAATTTCTTCGACCTTACACAAAATGTTATGTTTGAAGTTTAAAATTTTCTTTCTTTTGCCAACAAAACCCCGTTTGTCACTGTTCATGAGCATTCAGTACAAGAAACAAAACAAAATATGGTAGTGTTACGCATCCTGAGGTCAGAATGGCTCAAATGGTGTGGCAGTGAATTGGATATGCAGAAGATGACTAAAGTTATTATATCATAGATGCTTACCCTGCCTTTCTGAAGGATGCTTCTGGCCCATTGTAACATTAGATAGGATGGACTGTTGGAAAGGAGAACTTAGCCATCACTGAAATCTGCCAGCACCTAGCTGTCCAAGATGAGATTCATGCTGGTATAATTTTATATTTTAAGCAATTTTTTGTACCGGTGTATGTTTTTTGATGTTGATCAATTTTTTTATTTCTTATTGTTTCCTTTGTTTCCTAATATAAATTTTTTGTTCTTATTTGCAGAACAAAATCCTAAAAATGTCCTGTTACTTGCAAGAGTTATCACACTATTTCCCCTTCCCCCCGCCCCCTTTTTCTTTTCTTCTCTTAAAAAGCATTTGGACATAATGAGTGCCCAGATCCCGGAGTGCCAATCAATGCTCGGCGTTTTGGAGACAACTTTCAGCTGGGGAGCTCAATTTCTGTTATATGTGAAGAAGGATTTATTAAAACACAAGGAACTGAAACAATTACTTGTATGCTAATGGATGGAAAAGTAATGTGGAGTGGACCTATTCCTAAGTGTGGAGGTATGTGTAATATTTCTTTCTGGTTCAGGAGAACTTGATGTAATGTGTTTTGTCACCAAATGAAGTTCAGATTCTTGCAGAAGTGTAGCACAAAGCTCTTGTAAAACCTAGCCCTTAATAAAGGAGTCTAGTAAGGCATGAGTTTTTATTATAAACCTGTCTGCAGGAGTGAATTTTTCTTATAACGGTGATAAGGATAGAAGAAAAACACGGAAAAAAATGGCACATACATCAGTGTTATAAACACTGCTATATAACATCTGTAATGATGAAGGCTAATCTAAAAAACTTAATAGAACTGGAATGGGAATATTTTACACTCTTCATAATTTCAGATAGCTCCTATGTGGTGCTGGAGGAACTATCATTTCCCAAAGACATTTTTTGCTTGAAAGGATTTCTCCTGCCTTTTTTTTTCACTTCTTTTTAAAGAATATATTTGTCTCATGTGAAAAAAATTTTAAAGTAAAGAGTTTCAGTGCTAGAAAAGCATAATATTAATCTCTGCAGTTTGGCATTCCAGTCCAATCAGTATCATGACTGGCCTAGTTAATACTTAGGAGAAAGAAATATCAGGGGAGAAGAAAATAAGAAAATCCTTCTGTTCCCCAAACTTTATTTTAGTATATTGAAGACTCCTTTTCTTCAGCTATGATATTTAAATCTCCTGCCAACTTGTCACTCAATGTTTTTGAGCAGAAATCTGGGGGTTTTGTAGGGGTTTGTTGCTTTGATTTTTTAAATTTTTTTTCACCTTGTTTCATGTAAGTTTTCTTCAATATACAGATATGGACTTCCTGATTCAAACAGATGAACAATTTAAAATCATTTGAATGCTCAGTGACATTTGTTGATATAATATTAGATTAGAATGAAGATCTCTTTTGGGTCTTTGGCCATGCTATTTAAAACTTTTTGAGGTGTTTTAGCCCTCTGTTGCAGTGCTTGTGTTTCTTCCATCAACAGTGACTCCTAGGCTGGGAAAGATTCCCTTAGCAACTGATCTTATTTTTTAATAGAAATTAAATACTTCATACATCACAACATATAAACCATAGTGTTTTGCCTATTTCCTTGGACTTGTTTACACTAATAGATACCAAAATATAATTTTTACTTCATTGCCTATAGCTGAAGATCTCTTCTCCTAAAGGGGAAAAATTAATTCAGTTGCTTGTAATGATTATATTTAATCAGTAACAATATAATCTCTGATTTATGGTTTGTGAGTTTTTATTTTAAACGAAAACTTAGTTTTTGTTTTCACTATGTAACTACCTTCTTGAAAAAATTTACATAATTTCAATACATTAATGTGACTGCTTATAATATCCTTCACATTCATTTAGTTTCTGAGATAAAATATTGTTATTGTTTCATAGATATAAGGTGGGTCAGTTTCACTAGACAAGATTAGTATAGGCTATAATGCCTCTGCTTTCATATAGGCTTCATGGAGCTGTCTAACACTGCTAATAAAATATAAAGTTGCATTTTTAATGTTACATTAAAAGCTTAAATTACTGGGAATATTTTTTAGTGTCAGTCCATGCAGAAGATAATCTGATCCATAGGTAGCTGGATACTCTGAATGGAGCATATATTGGAATCCTAAAGGTTCAGACAAGGGTATATTTGTATTAGATGTTTTTATCATATTTAAAATTAGATATACTTTTAAAATTTCAGATAAAATTGAAAGACAAATTAAAATATTTTCAAACTAATAATGTAATTTGGTCTGTTAGGGTGTTCAGAATTTTTAGTGATTGTGTGCACATTTGCCTGTACTACACGGTTATTTCATATAAGCTCTACACACACCTTGTAATTTCATTGTCATATATATTGAGTCAAAGGCATAACCTCCACATTCTGACTAGGAGACACTGAATGTCACTGCTGTGCACTTTTCCTTCCACTGCAGAAATGTCAGCAATTACAATTTATACCAGAGAGCTATTTGATAATAAACGTGGTGCAGATGGACAGGGTCAGCACATTCATTTTTCAGGGCAGTCCTGACCAACCTCTGCTGGGACTTCCTCCCAGCCCTGCCCATGGCCCAGGATCCTATTTCTGCTGAGTCTGGGGCTGCGATCCCAGCCTCAGCAATGCTGCTGTTCTCGGCTCAATGTGCCCATGTGACTTCCTGGTTTGGCCTCAGACCTGACCCATCAAATTGCATCGTCCGATGGTTACTTGGTTGTTACCAGACCCTTTTCCTGTAACCAGTCCAGACTTGTTCACCTTGCTCAGGAAGAGCTGGATCTGTCCGTGAAGGCTCTAACTCAGTGTATGCTTGTGTATGTGTGCACACGTGAACTTCCTTGGCTCCTGGCTTCTCTTCTCTAGTGGAGTGGTCCTGCTTTTGCTGCTCTCTGATGATTTTGAATTTGGGATTCCTGTCCTTGTGCCTTTCATCCTTCCTGTGAGGGTTATATGGAGGATATTCCCATAATCTATTCTAATATTGTGCTGTTGTACCTCTGCTGAAGCTCTAACCTTGGTCTTCCTGCATAACTCCTGTAATGCTTAATATCCTGTGGTTCTGTAGCATTGGTGATAAACTCTTGAAAAAAACATGACTAAAACTATGAATCTACAAGACATTCAGTGATTAACCTGTCATCCTCAAAGCTTTTTTCATACTCATATACCGAAATTTCCTGTCTCAACCCCTGTACCTTACTATACAAAGAAATAAATACAAATGACTTTGTAAGAATTCTTAGATCAGACTAAGATTAGCTTTCAGTATTTGGCATATCCCTGTGTTTGACAAATTGATTCTGTTTGATGACAACCTCTGGTTAAGTTATATTTCTAGTGTTTTGTTTTGAACACACAGGCATTGGGAATGAATCTGTCAGGCAACCATCAAATATGACTAGAAAAAAGAATAGGGGATGAAAATCAATGTAAAAAAGGTCAGGGAAACAATCCTTTGTCAAGATGAGAGTTTTATTTTCTAAAAAACAAGCTCTTTAAGATCAGCCAAATAGCCCAGCTATTCTGAAGGCAAGGACTCCTGGGTCTAGGAAATCAGGTTGTGGTGGTGAAAATCAAATGAAAAAAATCTATGGAATCTTGCAATGCAAGCATCAGGAAGAATCATAATCAGGAGATGGGTAAGAAAGATGAAGACCTAAAACAGCAGCAAAACACTTCGTTATTGTGAGACCCCAATTAGAAAGAGAAATTATTCCAAATTTAGGTTATCTTATAGTATGAATTATTTTTAATGTACTATACATAGGAGTATTTTTGTAATAGAGGTTTTTGCTGTATTCTAAATATAATCTTTAACGTGTCATGAAAATGTGGTGAGAATATGGAACTTTGTACAAGTTTAGCAGTAATGTATTCTAACTATGGTAGTATACCGACTCAGAATAAGGCCATCTGGTATTCCTATTCTTGTTGATATACTTTGTAGTTTATAGGCTCCCTATACATTATGAATATGTGGCTGTATACAATAAAATATAGGGATGATGAATGCTGGAGAATTAGCCTTCTAGTTGTTGAGGCGAATAGGAATTTAAATACTTTATTGCTTGACTGATACTATTTACCGGAGGTAGTATGAAAAAGAGGCTTTAACACAAAAGATGAGAAAGCCCATTTTAAAAACATCAGTGATGAAAACAAGTCTAAATCTGCATATTTAGAAATGTTTGTAATATATTGAATTCTGAAATCTACATAACTTTTAGAAACCCTTTTTTTTCCCTACATATTATGGGAAACATGGGCTAATATGTCCTTAAAAACAAAAAATACCTATTTATAACAGTTCATCATTTTAATATAGAAACTTGGTAATCTCCTGAGAAAAAATGAAGACTAGACAAATGCATAATAATTCATGGTCTTCAATTTGAAATTGTGTCAAAGAGAGCAAAATTAATATATTTTTCTAGTGGAAAAGTACAGAATAATATAGAAAATTGTATGTACTATGCCAGTACCAGTATGGGGGGGCTCTCACAAGGGCAGAGCAGAGAGGAAAAATCACCTCCTGCTGACCATACTTCTTTTGGCACAGTCCAGGACACATTTGGCTTTCTGACCTGCAAGTGCATACTGTTGGCTCATGTCATCTACTAATATCCACAAGTCCTTCTATGCAGGATTGTTTTCAATCCGTCATCTTCAAAAGGTTTCCTGACATATCTCATTTGCTTTGGAAGTGAGTATTGAAGTGTTTTGATAAGAGGCCAAAGTTTTTTCCCTATGTTTAAAAATTAAAGGATTAAAGCAGTTTATTAGTTCTTTTCTAAGATACTTTGTTGAAAAATAAAAGAAAACCTTAGCAAAATGAAAATCTTGGCCTACATATAGATGTCTGTGATGTAAATAAATACATGTATGTTTCTAGTGAGTGAATCTGGCAAAGACAAAGCAAGCTCATCTTTCCCTTCACAGAATGAAATTGGGGGAAAAAATTTCAGCTTGATTATGTCAACTGTGTATGAACTTTGAGGCTTGGTGAAATACAAGGTAATTTGTTGAATTTTTTTCAGAAAAGTGTCATAAAACTAAAAATAAGGAAATACATTAAAAAAAAAAACAAACAAAACCCCAACCAACCAACCAACAAACAAAACAAACCTCTAAGATTTGCCTTTAGAAAATGGTTTAGTCCCTGAGGTTTAAGATCATGAGGAGCTCACCAAATCTAATTTGGTCTGAACCAAATTCTTGATTATCAGTTAAGCAAAGAATAACAATAAGCTCATGATAACAATAAACTGGTCATGCCTTCACAGTTCTATAGTCTAATGTATTTACTCCAATATTTATGAGAACCAAAAAAGTATTTAAGCATAGAATCATAGAATGGTTAGTGTTGGAAGGGCCCTTAAAGATCATTTAGTTCCAATCCCCCTGCAGTGGGCAGGTGTGCCATTCATTAGATCATGCTGCTCAGGTGTCCATTCAATCTGGCCTTGAACAATTCCAGGGATGGAGCATCCACAACTGCTCTGGGTAACTTGTTCCAGTGCTTTCTTTACTCCTCTGAGTAAAGAATTTATTCCTAAAATCTAATCTAAACCTTCCTCCTTTCATTTTCAAATCATTGTCCATTGTCCTGTCTCTAAGTGTATAAAAAGTCCCTCTTCCTTCTTTTTAGAAGGCCCCTTAAGGTACTAGAAGGCTGCAGTGAGGTCTTCCCAAAGCCTTCCTTTCTCCAAGCTAAACAACCCCAGATCTCTCAGCCTGCCTTCGGTGCACCACTCAGCTTCATGTCATCTGCAGACTTGCTGAGGATGCACTTGATCTCATGTCTATGCCATTGACAAAGCTATTAAAGAGTACCAGTCCCAAGATAGGGACCTGAGGGACATCACTCCCTAGCATCCTTTTAAATGAAGAAATAATGTTTTCCTAGTGTTTGTAAGTTACCATGTGGCCTACCTGATTATTATGTATGATAAAGTTTGTATGTATACATATATATATATATACTGAAGCTGACTTTTTTCTCTAGATATCTAGGTATTTTAAATTGCTAGAAAAATATTATGATTTTTTACCTCTTTTAAAAATGGTAATACTTCTAGTGATTCAATTACTGCATTTCTTAGATAACTCAAGATAGTTCTGTGAATTAATTTCTCTAGGAAATATCAATCTACTACTGAAAATAAAGAAATAAAAGCATGACAAGTACTCCTACTGTCTTTCCCTCACCTATCCATAACACAGAGGTGGTGTTGATCTCACAAAAGTGTGATGACACATGCACTTGACTTTCATAGGCATGTAGATCCATCAGATGAAACGGGTTTGCATTCAAGCATGAAATTAAAAACCCACACAGAGCTTTGTAAGACTAAAACCTAAAAGATCTGTCCTTCAGCAGTACTGGTCTTATGGTTCTTACTCTACCAGCCTGTAAGATTATATGATCTTTGGGATGGACTAGCACTCTCCATAGCCAAAATCAGCTTCAGTCAAACCTAATCATTACTTCTGAGAATGTCTATTTTGCTCTATGACTGTCTTAACATTGAAGAACTAATGGAAAATTCCCTCATTCTGTACCAGATTTTCTTCACCTATTTGTTAACTCAATTGGTTAGAGCTTGGTGCTAATAATGCCAAGGTCATGGGTCCAATCTCTCTATGGGCCATTCACTTAAGAGCTGGACTCAATGATCCTTGTGGGTCCCTTCCAACTCAGAATATTCTGTGATTCTGGTCTAGTGGAAGGTGTCCCTGCCCATGGCATGGGGGTTGGTATTGATTTAAGAATTGTTTTCAGAAATTCTCTTCATCCTTGTAATTCTTACAGTTGTGAAGATTCTTACTGTAATTAATGTGCCATTAAACCACTGAAATACTTAAAATTATTCACTTGTTCTAAGAGAAAAATTACGTGTTATTTCTAGTAATTCTGTTTGCAGAATATTTATATATTTGTATATATTGATCTATATTTTATAAGTGCTTAAAAAACATCAACTAATCTTGGAAGAATGGTAAGTAGGTCTTTTTCATGAATGAGGAATAAGAACTGCCAACGTGACAAGCAAAATGCATGTGCTATGACAGTAGATTTATGTAAAAGTTAAATAACGCTTCACTGCTTTCCAGCTTTATACTCAACTAAAACTTTTTCAAGTTTTTCAAATCTCTCTGCTCAAAATTAAAAGCAAAAATAACGACATATTGTGGAAACTATGCTTTGGATTATTTCCTTTATTGCAGGAAAATAGATTGTACTGTAAGGATGCAGTAGAAAAAAAAAACCTGTTGTCAGAATTATTGAACAGTTTATTTTAAGTTTTTAGGGTCTTATTTCAGTTGATCTCCATCTAATTCTGAACACCATAGAATATATCAGCTTTGAAACCTCTTTTGTGTCTTCTTGCAACTGAATTTTTAAAACTTGTTTATTATAGTTGTCCTATATTGAAAATTGCAATTGTGAATTACATATAAGAAATCTATGTTGTTTACCTTTCTCTTTGTTTCATTTTTAGCTCCATGTAGTGGGCATTTTTCATGGTAAACTAATGGAAAGTGACAATCGTGATTGAAAATTATAATTGTGAATTACATGTAATAAATCTGTGTTGTTTACCTTTCTCTTTGTTTCATTTTTAGCTCCATGTGGTGGGCATTTTTCATCTCCCAGTGGAGTAATTCTCTCTCCAGGCTGGCCAGGGTATTATAAAGATTCCTTGAATTGTGAGTGGGTGATAGAAGCTGAACCAGGACACTCTATCAAAATTACATTTGAAAGGTCTTTGCTAATTTTTCTTATTTAATGTTTTCCAGTATTTACCCAGAAACAGGAGTTATTAGCTTTGTCATAACATCATTTTCACTATCACTCAAATCAAGCAATTGTATTATCAGGTAGGACTTTCCAAAACACCTTCAGAGCATAAATTTTATCTTCAGTGAAATTTCTACTTGATGTGCTGAAAAGCTTTTGAAATTTCAACCCTCTTGCACATATTTAAGCCTGTCTGGCCCAGTTAAAAACTTTGTCTATTTTTGAAGATTAACTTTTTGATTTGCATGTAACCATATTGCTGTGATGATTACAAAGTTCTTTGTTTCTCTCAAAACCATGAAATCTTCAACTCTAAAAATCTGAATCAACTGTGAAAACTGAATTGAATGCATTAATATTTTTATCTATTCTGAATATTTAACTATCAAATCAGCTGATCTGTTTTTGTAAAAGGACTGTGTACTTTCAGGATGGAGTTCCACTTTCCCCAAATTACTGCAGCATTCCACTTTTCCTACATTACCGTGTCTTACTAAGGTCCATTCCCAATTCTAAGGATTGAAATGTGCTGAGCACCTTACATTTCTCATGACATTTAGTTTAAGCTCTTTATTAGAAAGCAAAACAAAAAAATGCAATCAAAGAATGCTTTTCTACGTATTTTCAAGGATGTTTTAGATTATTTTTAATTGTAAATATTAATAAAATTATATGAAAATCCAGGAAAAAAGCACCTTTGATGATCAAAGTTATAGTGCACAAATATCATGCAGTTGATCTTTATGCAGCATATTTTGACTACTCCTGGGCACACTTGATTAAAAGAGAAGATATTTCTTGATTTTAATACAAATTCAAAAGTTGTTTTTAGCAGGATGTGAACTCCATATTCTCTTAGCAAAATTTCTCATTGTGATAAGATTGTTAAAAACTTATTTTCTAGTACTATTGCTTACACTATAATACAGTGACTGTGGAACATTATATACAATCGAAGGACAAGTAATAAAGACATTTCAAAGGTATTTCCTATCCTTAACATAAAATGAAAGCTAGTCTTCCAAAATCACTATTGCTGTTTATCACTTAAAATAAAGACTTACCAAACTTTTTGCCAATTAGAATACATAAAAAGGTGAATAACTCCCTCTTGCGAAAACTAATCAAAACTCGTATTAATTCAAAATTAAGAGAAAATTATTCTTTCTTGTCTTGTAAATCAAAATGAAAACTAAAAAAAATGAACTTTCATTAACCTAAATTTTTGAAAAAAGTTATAGTTTCAAATAGTTTATTTTTAATTCAGCAATTCATTTAAACAACAGATTTGATGTGGACAGTCATTTCAAAGTGAAAAGCATTTGCCTTTATATTTGCAAAATACTAAGCCAGCTGTATTTTCTTTCTTTATACATGAGTTTTACTAAATATGACGTTTTCTTGTGTACCCTTTTTGTTTGTAAGGCATTAATGCTTTGTCATAAAATTGCACAAACTCTATTCCTCTTGTAAGAGCAATAAAAACAAGATGTGGTCTCTTCAGATCAGAGAGAGAGCTTCTATCCTCTTTAAGATACTTCCATTGCTACCCATTTTTGACACTCTTGACACTTGCCATAAATTGGGCTGATATGCTTATTGCTGAGATGCAGTAACGCAGAGAGGCTCCACTCCCATACAGATGTGTGTACCCTTATGTGTCTCTGTGCAGAAGTGCATGTAAAGATACATCTGTGTATGTTTACACAGGTGCATTTAGATATATAGTTACATGTTTGGATGTAAAGAAGAAATTATTTCATAAATCAAATAATGAAACAGGTCTTTATAGTGTACTGAAAGAAAAGATTTTGTAAGCTACGGTTATGCTTTTTACTTAGACATTTTCCACACCGTTTAAATTTACCTTCTGAGTCATTTATAAATTAGCTTTTTAAAAACTCATTCTAGTCTTGGCTATCCTTGTTCTGCTCCTTCTGCTTGCTTATCTTACACTATGTTTTCTTAAGAAAAAAGGATAATTTTGTTGAAATATACACTTTTAATACTATAGCCAAATGGCTTACCCATATGATTAAAAAAACCACAAACCCTCATATTTTGCCCAGTTCTTTACATTTGACATTTTTCCCAAAAAACACACATACTTTTTCTTGTTTTTATCATTGCAAGTATCAAAACTTCCTCAATATGAGTAGTTATTTGAAAGATTTTTAGTTTCTCAGTCAGGGAAAAATATTTATAGTACATGTCTAGAATCTTTGCATACTTTTTTGGATTTTCTAAGAGGAAGGGAACAGTTTGTACTAATACTCATTTTCTGCAGAGTGACAGCTTAACGCTGCATCAGTTTCCCACTTGTAGAGTAGTTTATTTCCTTTTAATCTCACATCTTCCTGTCTTCCAATACCTTCTTTCTTATGACAGTGGATAGGTGCCAGGTACTGCATTCCATGACTGTATGCCACAGTGTTCCTGTGCCAAGGAGCCAGAGACATACAGGAAAACAAAGAGATCTACAGACATAGAGAATAAAAATAGCTATAAATTTTTGTGCTATTAATATTTTTTTCATATTTTGTTTTATGATTGTGCATGTATACTTTAAAAATTTATTTCCATCCTACAGGCATAAATAAGATAGATAATCTTCTGGTATTTTGTTATAAATCAGTATCCTTTTAGGCTCAATTGAAATGACAGAAGTGATAAATGGCAGTGCCATTCTTCATTGTAATGAAGTGTTTATCATGTAGCCTAATTATGAGTATTTAAATGCAATGGATGCTGATAGCAAACTACTGATTGGAGTACTAGTCACGTTTGTCTAATGAGTATACGCTGTGCAGCAGGATGTCCTGACATCCCATTGAATTGGTAGGGGGGCTCTTAGAAACAAAGATGCATGTTATAAATATTAAGGCAGCTTTATTTATTCAAATAAGACCTCTTCTTAAAATTGTGTGTCACCTCCCGTGTTAGAACTTGTTTCACTCCTGTCTGCTTCTGAGTCCTCCATAAGAATAGACCTCACATAGCAATGATGAAAGGACATTGGAGCAGTCTTACATGAAACTTACTCTGTTTCTATAAACCCCTACTGTTTTCTCACACCAGAGAAAAAAATAGGTGACATGTAAATATATCAAATAAGTTGAGCATTGAGGGGAAAAAATTATATAAGCATCACACTTACAAATTAAATTTAAATTGATCAGATTTTGAGCCAAATGACCAAGCAAAGGCATTGTACATAATTCCCCCTTCAAATTTCTCACTTAAAAATGGTTCTTACTTTTTTTTCTCAGGTGTTTATTCATTTTTTTCATCACTGTATTTTTCTGCTGTGTGTGGTGGTGTATGTAGTCTTTGAACACAAAGTATTTACGAGAGGATTTCTTTTATGTCTTTGGAGATTCAACTTAATTTCAGTATGACGTGACTAGCCTGATGGCTGCATTACATTTGTAAGGTCCATGCCTTTTTTACACCTTCAGTCTCAAGTATGTTTTTGATAAAGGGACTAAGAAAGCAGAACAAGACTAAATGATCTGTTTCCAAGATTTCTTCTATGGATTACTGGGAAAAAATATTAGAAAATATTAGAAAAAGCAAGTTATTGGTTTTTAGCAATATATCACTTTGAGTTCACGTGGGAACTAGCAAAACACAAAATATTCAGTTCTCCTCCTTCTAGGATTATCCCACTTCATTTCTGTAACTCCCTATTACTTTATTTCTGTGCTCTTTTAAATGTTATTTCGTGTGAATGGAACACTGATAGAAGAAAACACATGTTTTGGAGGTTTAATTTGTCTTCTCGTCTTTTGCTAGACTCCTTTACACCTTAAAGCTCAGACTCTTGGGACATAAATATTAAATATTGACTTCCTCAGTGCATTGGCATTAGTCATGCAGTTCTTTGAATGAATTTCACAAAGCTGAATTAGGCATCTAAGTAAATCAGAGAGAGAATTAAGAATATCTGAAGGGTGCTTGTAAGATCCTGCTGTTAATCGTTGCTTTTTAATTCTAGAAGGGTTTTTTCAATAATCCACCAGAGTTCCTTTTAGAGCAGTATGATTGATCTAAGGTCTGTCATAGCAAGAAAGAGAGAAACCACTGTCAAAATACCAAACACAAGTTTGGGACTGCCGATAGCATCTAAAACAAGACAAACAAGGAGATATCTAGCAGCACTGTCACACTCAGCTTTTCCTTGACAAGGACAGCACACATGCTGTCTTTAAACACTCGTCTTGTTTTCTGTTACTTTCTAAATAGGATTTTTAGTTGTGGGTTTGTTTTTTTATTTCCCCATAACTTCTGTCACCACTTTGGACTGAATCTCAGCTGGCATAAAACCACTGGAGTCTCAGTGCAGACTCTAATAATTCTATCGCTACTTATAGAGGATTTTAAGAGTAGAAACTCAAGAGTATGATTCTTTGATAATATAAAGTACCTTAATGATATTTGTGCCACATAGAATAGGTAAACTAAAAGAATATATCAACATATCCTCCATATAATTTACTTAATTATTCAAAAAGACCCCATAATTTTGTGTTTTAAAATATCATATGTAAATAATATTAATCTTTATTAACAAACTGTGTTTCTGGTTCTTTTTTCCTGCAATACAAACCAAGTCAAGAAGTTTAAACTTATTTCTCATCTTGCTAAACCACTGAAATTTTATATTATATTAATTATATAGGATAATTAATATTATTCTATTGATATTGTAAAATAGATATGTGGAGAAAAAATATTATCAGGGAAGGAGCATAGTTTAAAATATGGTGTTATTGAATTTGTTGTAACTGTCTCTTTAAATTTGTGCCTCTGGGTGTTTCCTCAATTCCAGATTTCAGACTGAACTCAATTATGATGTTTTGGAAGTTCATGATGGACCAAACTTATTATCTCCACTTCTGGGATCTTACAATGGTACACAGGTCCCCCAGTTTCTGTTTAGCAGTAGCAATTTTATTTATCTTCTCTTTACAACTGATAACAGCCGTTCTAACAATGGATTCAAGATTCACTATGAAAGTAAGTAATTCTGTACTGTATTATTTGATTTCACCTCCCTCTCAATGCTTATTCTTGTCATAAATATAAAAAGATTTACAGATGTCATCTTTGGTAAATTCCTGTTATTTCTCAGTCCGAGAAAGATTTAGTGATGTTAAACTGCAAAAGTGATGACCACTAATTTTACTTAAAATTTAATGTCATTGATGTACTACTCTGTACTTTAAGAATCAAAAGATGAGAATGGGAAGCAAATGCCTTTCTTCTGGATGCTGTTTTAAGGCTTGATATTCTTATATTTTATACAATACATTTTTGTGTGTGTAAAACTGCATGAGATTAGAAAGAGTATGGAAATCTAAGCAAATAACTGAATTACTGTTCTGATTGATCTATCTGCAGCTCTGACTGAAGGTAAGGCGAAATGCACTTTACACTAATGAGCTGAAAATCAAGCTATGGAATTGCTTGCTTATGGATTTTAAGGGTTGTAAAAACCTGCCTATGTGATTTTTTCTGATATAGAAGTATTCTTTTGCCCTTATTAGAGTAATACAAATGACACTGAAGAAAGTATATGTAAGATTTCATACTTTATGAATTCTTAAAATTCATTTAAGTTTATATATCCTAATTCAATTTACTTTTTGCATTTCTAAATATAATTTTTGTTGAAATAATTAAAATTTTTAAGAGAAATAATATTTCTACTGTAATCACTATCTGATTTGCTTAGTAAAGGTCATAAGCACATTGTTGTCTGTCCATTTCTGTTTCATACACCAACTTGTTGGAACTACCACCAAACAGTTTTCAGTTTTTTTAGCATTATACACTAGTGGAGAATAAAATTTAAAGTTATGATATCAAAGAACATTCAAAATATGCATTCTTACCATTTGTACACAAAATAAACAATTTTCAGTGGTTACTTTTCTGTTTAATAGCCCCTGTTTATACACAGACATCTAATATTAATTTTATTTTTTCTTAATTCTTACTGATTTCTCATCTTCCATTATCCAGTACAACACAATTCTAATTTCCCTTTTGGGAATAATAATGACTAATGGTCCCCTCATCATCATTTCTCCCTTCATATATCGTAGTGAAAGCTGAGGTCTTTTTTATGTTCTTATTTTTTATGCTAATTATTTCTTTTCACACAATTTCTTTGTAAGGAAGGATATTTTATGACTTCTCTGTAGGAATGAAAAGAATAAAACCCATAAAAAATTTAACACTGAATACTTCTTATAATTTTTGTACTTCAGTATTATTCCTAGAGGTTTTTTTTTTCTCATGATTATTTTATAATGAACTTCTTTGTATGAACTTTATATGTGAACTTCTCACTGGGAAATAATCTAAAAGGTTTAATATTTTAGCACACATTGAAATTTCCTTTATCAAGTCAACTTCTCTTTATTTTCTGCCATTCTTTGTCTTCTCAATGTCTCATATATCAAATAGCACTAGGTATGACAGTTATTTATGTAAATAATTTATCTATGTAAATATTTCAAGGATCAATATCAAAAGAAATGAAAATCACTTTAGCTATGATAAAAAATTTTGATCCAGAAAAAATAAAGGCTGGAAATCAGGATTTTGAGTGATCATCAAAGCTTTTCAACATCAGCATGAGGTACAAAATCACTTAATGTTACTAATGCAAGTTGTTATCCATAGCATCTTAAAATGGTAACCGAGAGAAACAGTGCAAAGATAATTCACTATACGTGCATGATAATGATGCCTTCACCCCCACTCACAGCACAATCAATTACTTAAATGAATTTTAAAAAAATCTATAGGTTGTTTATTTAACTTTTTCTTTGTGTTTTCTTTTTTTTTTCCTTTTTTTTTTTTTTTAATTTAGGTGTAACTGTTAACACTTACTCTTGCTTGGATCCTGGCATACCAGTGCATGGACGTCGTTATGGACATGACTTCTCTATAGGTTCCACTGTCTCATTTAGTTGTGATCCAGGTTATAGGCTGAGTCATGAGGAGCCTTTGCTATGTGAAAAAAATCACTGGTGGAGTCACCCCCTCCCAACTTGTGATGGTAAGGATGAATGGATTAAAAATAGAGTACCTTAAAATATACGATTTTACTAAACTATTAGTAACTACAATGAGTTAAATGTTGGAGCTTGGAAAACCTCTGTTTTAAGGCAAAAAGAATACTTAGAGGAAATAAATGTTATATAACTCTGTGATGAGACATATAACCATTAAAGCAGAGAATGATATATAGTTATTTAGCTCTGCAGATTACTGAAGATATGTCTATCTAAAAATATGTTGCTGTGAGCTGATTGCAGAGTTAATGTATATCTGCTTGTAAATCACTCATTACAAACTACAAATATTTGTGTTTGAGTACCCATCTATGGACACAGGTGTTAGAATAATGGCCAGTCTTCGCGAGCGAAGATTTTGGGAAAGGTCATTAACCCTTCCAGCCTGTGCAGTGGATTTTTAGGTGAGACACAGCGTGCGCTGAACTGAGCCCACCCTTTAGTCCTGAGATTCATCTGCCGGGGCCGAGCAAAGCTTGGACAGTGGCAGTGAGGTCCCCAGGATGTAGGTTTGTTTAGAGTGACCTTCTCTTAGGTGGATTGCCTTCCACGGCTGACGAGCTCCACCTGCCCAGGGGGCCGGGAATCAAACCCGGGTCGCAGAGGTGAGAGTCAGGCACTCTAACCACTAGACCACCAGACACAGGTGTGCTGACATACAAAACGTGACTCAAGACCAGCATTTCCTCCTGTTTGATGCTGATCACTGTGTTCCTAGGTTGGTAACAGAACTTGACACCTTTTAATCACTATAGGAATTTATTAGGGCCACATTATACCTGTTCAGTAAGCATATGATTATTAAACCAGGCAAAAGTGGGATTGAGTAACAGGTTTCCAACATATCATTAAAAATTCTGCTTGAAAAATTATCTAATATTTTCAGTCATCTCTTGTAATCTGAATTGTTCATTTTAATGTTTTCCCACTTAGGGTGATATCAGTTATATGTAATATTAAGAAAGTAGATTGTAATGTTCATTAAGTTGTGTTGTTTGAGATGTTTACTTCTTGAAATAATTTTCTTGCTTGGAGCATGGAACGTTTTTCTGATGATGAAAAGTCTGTCAGGAATAGTATTACCATTTAATTCTAGGGTAGTATTTAACAAAAAAAGTCTCCTGAACTTTTATAAGCTACAGAATGCACATGATAGCATATTTTTCTAAAACAGTTCTTAGTGTCTCAGGACACTCATTTAGAAAGAAAAAGATGAATCTGAATGAAGACTGATGAAGTTCACTGATCCATGTGTGATTTGCCATATGGAAATCTATTCATTTTCAATATATTTCTTTCTTTAAAAAATGGTAAGGATTTTCTTGGTCTTCAGTTTGCTTGAATAGGAAATTCTTTGGTTTTTTATATTTCAGTAAGTTGAAAGTGTCAGTATATAATGATACTTAAGATTTGTGGTGGTAAAAAGAGATGTGAATAATCACTTTCCTGAAAATGACACTCTGTAGCTATGCAAGCCCATTTCCTAAGAAATTCTGCATCTCACTCAGGCTTTGAAATGAAGAATTACAGGGTTCCTGCAGTTTGCAGTCAAGGGGACTATACTTTGCTGAATAGGCCATAAAATTAGGATGTGTTTTCTCATGGTGATAGGCACTAGATGGTAATAAGGTGAAAAAAACCAGTATTAACACACTCGCTATGAATACTGTGCTCTGTTGTTAATAAACGTACATATTGTCATAAATTTTTTCTTAAAGATGCTGAACTAGCATACAATTCATTAAGTAAATGAGGTGGGTTTTTTCTCCAGAGCACATTGCTAAATGGCAATTGTCCATTCAATGAATATGCTCTGAAGGTAGGATTAAGTACATTTATTCTACCAAATTTAATCAATTAATGGTTGAAATAATTTTAACTTCATTGCTGATTTTCTTCTCTGGTAGAATGTTTTTTAATAGGATTCAGAGTCCTTGCACCCTCAGGAAAAAAAGGACATTTGCTAAATCTTCTGTTCTTTGCATAAACTGCGAGCATGGGTTTGTATTAATCATGCCATCAATAAACACATCAGTCGCTCCTACCGCTCATTCAATATGTTACTCTGATGGTTTCTGAGAAGCGGAATTCTTTTTTGATTGTTCTTTTTGATAATTGCATCTCTTTTTTATAATTGCATCACATAGTGATATGGAGACAGACCCTGATAATTATGCAGACAGATCATGACAACTCGTGTGTCTGGAAAGCCCTGAATTTCTTGATTGTAATCACCTTCCGATTCTTCACTAAAAATTTTGTCTTATCATGTCCTCTCTGTATCAATATTATAAGAGAATTTTGCTTTTAAGCTTTGAATAGATATGAGAAAACCTATTTTACTCAATATATGAATTATTTTATTAATCTCATTAAAAATTGCATTAAAATAATGTAAAAGTTAGATACCTAATTAAGAGTGTAAAGCGCTCTTTATTCCCTTCATCATAACATGAAATTGAATTCTAATAGATAATAATACTTATTCAATATTTGAATTAAAAATAAATATTATCATTCCACCTGATCTTCATTTACCTAAGAAAATTAATAAATAGAATGCAAAATATTCAAGCAAGATAGAAAACATTTAATGTTTATATTGGAAACCCCTAGATGCCCAAACAAATTAAGAAATATGACTTATGCAGTACCATGAGAAACTTATTCAGGAAATATGGCAGAGAAGAGATCTTATGTAATTTCTGTTGATATGTCTAAGATAAAAATAATACTTCTATTAAAATACAGCTGTTAAAAAGCCTGCTGCAAATATTCAATGTGGTAGAGGCCAAAATTGGAAATGGATAACATATCTTGGTCTATTTTAGATTTAAGTAAGAGGGTAAAAATACAAGTATATATTGGTAGTAATCTAGGCTACACTAGTTTCTATTAAGATAATCTCTTGTGTATTATAACTCAAGTCCAAGATTTCTTTCTAGAAGCTGATTATGATAATTTGATGTCCATATTGGTAATTTACCACTACTGAACTGCATCCTCTTGTAAGATTGCATCTTCTGCAGTTAGGGAAGACAAATGCCGAAGTTTCTTGGTCTAGGAAGTACGGTATACAAGATTCAAAATCTAAGTCACTGTTTCAATAATTTTAAACTATGTTTTATATGTCACTTTTATTATCGAATTGCACAATAAATGAAAAACACCCTAGAATTACATTTTTAGTTGGAAGTGAGAGTTAAATAAGCAAATGAATGTAATGAGGCCTCTGTGTGTTTGTGCACATATATATTTGTATCTGGAGTTATATATACACAAACACATTTACGTATAAATAGGTTTTGCTTTTTGTTTCTCTGTGATTCTATCTGAACTAGAATATGTTATTAGTCTTTTTCAATGATACTTGAAAACGAAAACTAATCATTATTACTAATCAATTAAAATTGTGTGTTTTCTCTTCCCGTCACCTCTGAAAAACAAATAGTTTTCAGTTATTTGTACTTACAACAAACTGAACTTAATGAAAAAAGTTGGGTTTTCTTTGAAGGCTTCTCTTCTTATGAGTATTTTCTCTTTTCTGAGAAAATTGAAATACTTCATTGTATGTTAGTGTCTAAGTTGTGTTTGGTAATCCATGGCTAGTCTCTTGAAAAATCTTTATACAAGAAAATGATAATTGATATAAATTGAAAATGTGGAAAATGTGGAAAATGTTAATTTCCAAGATATCTTCAATCAGGCTAAAAAGATAAAATATTATGGCTTTTTTTTTTTTTTACGCCATTACTTTTTAACACCATTTGTAGAAATACATGGATAAATGCATTTCTATATGTTTGTACCTATTTTTATATATATCTTTATTATTTTCACCTGTTTTACTAAAATAACATATACATTCTCTTGATAGTTTTCTGTCCTTTTTGGATATGATGACCCCCTTCTTCTCACATCTAGGTTTCTTGAAATTTCATATTATTGCTATACTCTACAAATTCTGAGACTGACTGGTGTTTTTTCAAAAAAAATAGTTTTAAATAGATAGTAAATTGTATTCATAGGTCTCAGGTGTCAGAGAACATAATTGTTGAGTTTTATTTCATGGTATAAAAAGCAAAATTTAATAGGGTTTTCTGTGGATAAGTTTTAAGCTAGCTATACAGGATGACCCAAGGAAAAGAGGATATGTGAAAGTAAAATGGAAAAAAAAATCCCAAACATCTATGAACAAAAATGTCATAATCTAATGTGAGGTGTCCCAGAAATATGTTTCTGTAATATAACTGCCAAGACAAGACAGACTGGTAAGAACTTGCAATTGTTAATAGTGGTCATAGAGATGGAAAATGTAACTTACAGAAGTAGATTAAGAAAACCTGTCTCACTTAAAAGATCCAAAATCATAGATTCTTGTGCAGTTTGCCAGCTTTCCAAATTGAGTCCTGAAGAGGGAATAATGACAGTTTAGCAGAAGAACAAATGGGTAAAAATAGATCATAAATAAATTTAGGCTAGACATTGTAAGACTATTTCTAGTATTGCAAGATTGATTTCCTTTAGCAGTTTTATAGTAGCATAAAATATGGCCTGAAATGGAATTTTGCAATTTTATGAATGACACAAGTCAAGTGTTTTCACTACAATTTTTCATGTATTTGAGGGATGAAGCATGGCCTATGTGTCTCCCAGTGAGAGTCCAACTCAAGTTTCTGAACCTGTTTGGGCCAAAAATTATTTTCCATCTATATAGGGCCATTTTCTAAGCTAGGCTTGCTTGCTGTTAGTCTTTTTTGTGATTGATCATGCTACTGAGCAAAATAATTTACAACAACAGAAACTGTAAGTAATCAATGCAACATTGTAAGAATTTATTTCAACTGAACAACTGATGTTGTCACTGAACTCCACTATTAAATTAGAATCTTCATTCATAGTTATCCAAGACTTGCTTATTAAATTGCCACATCATTTCTGATCACTACAGTGCTGTAGAAGTACTTTTTAATGTATTTCTATGTACTTATCTGTATTTCATAGTCCCTTTTATATTTTGTTCTCTTTATTTTTTGTGGCTTTTTTTGGTTTTGTTTGTTTGTTTGTTTTTATTATTATTATTATTATTTTAGGGCTTTTTTCTCCTTATTTAGAAAACATTGTAGTGGAGGCAAAAAATTAGACATATCTTAGTTCAGCTTCTCTACTTGCATAAAAAAGAAATTATTAGTTAGTGTGTTAACAACACAATATTCCATTTTCCACATAAGAACTCCAAAATAGTGCTTCAGTTATCTGCTCAAGAATTCATTCTACTTTTGCTGTATAATCAGATAAAGTGAAAGAAAGGTTTCTTGTAGAATATGGAAATATATATGTTTATAATTTGCTGTTTCTGTGTTTATTTTCATGTCTTTCTGTTTTCCTTTGCACTCTGAAACAACCCGATACTAGTACTGATATTATATGCTTGGGCTGTTTGCCATCTTATCAGGGCCAGTGCACATTTTCTATTTCAGATTTGTCAACTTGGCTTTATTTTCTAAAATGCTGGGTCCTTGATGCCTTTTTTTGCCATCTGCTAGCCTTCACAGAGTTACACTGAGTGTCTGATGACATGCCATGGATGTTTTATCACCAATTGCATTCCTGAAAGGTTTTCCAAACACCCACTGTAAAATATATATTTTTTTTGTCTATTTCCCATGTTTATAAAAACTGATTTTCTTATTTAATAGACAAAATAGATAGTTACCATCAGAAACTCCAGTAACATGCTGTCACAGCCATGATTCTGTTTTGCTAATGTCTAAATATAGCAAGATCAGGTGATAAATGGGCAGTGTTTACCTTCACTGTCTCTTCATCAGAAGTGAGGAGGAAAATTAATATGGATGTAAGTTATTTGCCTGTGGCAACAATAAAGAGATTGGGCAATTGTGGTCCTAGAATGTCCTATTTCAGCCTATGGTAGTGGATTTGTAAATTTTCATCTTACAACTAGGCCAAAAATTCTAGAATGCTGGCAAGAGAAACAGTACATACAAAACAATCATGAGGCTATCCAGACAAGTAAACGTGTTTAAAACAGAAATATAGTGAGTTAGAACAACCAAACAAACTTAAGGCAAAATAAGGCAGTCTTCGTCCTAGAATGCAGGATGAATTTCCATTTCTGATTTATAAGAAAACTGTAATTATATGTATACTTCTTTTCAATCAGTGCCCTAGGCAGAGTGATGGCATGCAGTGCCATAACCTCATTATGAAAAATTATTGATCTTTGTGAAAACATTCCGCAGTGCTACTAAAATTTCTGAAAAAGGCATGTATCTCATTGAGACAAATGTCTGCTTAGGTACAGGGTAGACAGAAGGTACATTCTAGACATTCTCTTGATTCACTGTCTGGCTTGCCCTCAAATCAGTTTTGAATGTACATCTACAAGCAGAAAATGATGACATGTCAACATATTCATTCTCAAATATGTAACATTAATAGCAAAGGCAAAAATGGGTATAACTCCCATCATTTACCCACCAATGTGTAGCAGAAATTGCCATAAGTAGAATAAATATCAAGATATAGCAGAAGAAACAGCATGATGTAACAAATTACACAACACCTTTCTCCTGAAGAAATATGTAGATGTTTGAGCACATACTGAAAGGCCAAACTTCTCCCACCTTTACAATTCATACTGTTGAGTGCTGCACTAGCAGTTGCTTTGATGTTTCAAAAGGAGTAGGAGCAGGTTAAACCAGCTAGTGCAGGTATGGCAGCATCTCTCAGAAAGAGGCATTGCTCCTCCAGCCTGTGCCAGGGTCCTTCCCTCATTCTCATTGCTGTGGCAGCAGGTGGAGAAGCACAGACACGAGCAATAAATAGGTGAATGACAGTTTATACAGCTAGGAGTAAAGGGATTGATGGTTGTATCAACTGGAATTACAGAAAAGTAACTGCCACTTGCATATCTCTAAAACTGTCTTTCAAGAGCTTTAACGTCTGCTAAAGAGAAAATCTTACTGTTAAATACAGGAATGCTGAATACTGGCTTAGATTAAGGTGAGGGCTCAAAGAAACTATGGTTGACACCAATAAAAATTCTGAAAGGACATTGTTTGACTACTTATGGTTGGAAAGGAAGAGATTGTGTTAAATACTTTGGAAGGACTGCTCATATGAAGAACTGTAATCAGTTTTACTAAAAACAGTCTATATTAATCGACCTACTGGTGACAGTAACATAGTTCACTGTTTTTCTTTATCCTAAAACATTTCTACAGAATAATTTTGGTAATGCATATAATTAGACCAAGAAAAATAAAAGGAATAGATATTTTTAACGAAAAAAATAGAACTCCTCATTTGTCTTATAATATATGCCTTTCTGAGATAATCTATATTCAGAGAACTATGATGTAATAACTTGCTTGGTAGTGAATATTAATCACTGTTATTGATATATGATAATTCTAAGATATGAGACTCTTCATTACTAAAAATTACTCATTAATTTTGTATTTCAAAAGCTCTGCAGTGGAAAATCAACCGTTAAACTGTAATGGTGAATTGTGAAGTTATTTTTGCCAGTGTTGTAATGACTAGTTTTTGTATTTTGCATTAATTCAAGCTGTAATTTAATTTTTGTGTTGCTCAATTACCAATTATTTTTATGAAGTTTCTATTGAAACTATGTAAAAGCTTGTTCTTATATTGGCACTTGTCACTATCACTTGCATTATAGATATAAATGCATATCCAATAATTATATACAAGAAAGCATGTCATGCTTCCTGCAAAAATATTTTAATTAAGTAAATCTTCAGTGGTGAGATCCATTATATGCCATTTTAAATCTCCAACCTTGGCTTCTGGCTCGAGTGATATTGTTTGGCTCTGTCTTTTCTGCTTTCATCTCTACTGACCTTAAGACTTTCATAGTCTCCAGAAAACATGAAAAAACAGCCAAGGAAACTTCATTTGCATTTTCTGGTGTCTATTAAACACATATTATTTATTAATTATTACATTTCTTTTTATATTGTGTAAAAATGACCTGTAGTTCTATCTGAAATTACTAAATCATTTGAACAACTACTTTTAAGTCATTTTAAAATCAGAATTTTTTAAAAATTTGTTTTTTTCCATTTTCCCTCATATGTAACTTTTCTAGTCATCATTATTATTATTATTATTATTATTATTATTATTATTTTCTTTGTTTTTTCTAGCTTTATGTGGTGGAGATGTTAGAGGACCTAGTGGAACAATTTTATCACCGGGTTATCCTGATCTATATCCAAATTCACTGAATTGCACATGGACTGTGGATGTTACCCATGGCAAAGGTAAATAAATCCTTTTCTCTACTTCCACCTTGTGGTTTTTTTTAATATATAAGTCCAGTATTCTGTATTATAGATGCAGACTTAGGTTAGCAGCAAAGAACTTAGAATTGCATTGCTGATTTGTAGTTTCATTTATTTTTCTTGCAGTAGTTCCTAGAATTCCATAAGTGGAGTAGGCCCTTATGCTTCCCACAAAATGGAAAGTCAATAAGAAAGAATTATATAATGACTGATCACAGAAGCTGAAGGCCGGGAGGCTTTTAAGAAAGAGGTGGTTATTTGTTGAAGGCAGATTTCAGGAAAAAGATGTAATACTGGTTTTTAACTCTTCTCTGAGAGCTTAAAAAACACTTAGGACACAGATGGAAGCAAAGTTTCCTAGAAACAATATGTCCTAGTTGCTTTCAGATGAAAGGGTTTGGTACTAGATGAGAAGAGTTGGGTCATACTTTTAGGTTTTTGTTGGTATTTTATTTTAAATATGGGAGTGACTGCATAGTACTCTTGTACTATGCGTGAAAAGAGCTAGGGAGGTATAAGATTTAATGTTACAGAAGGACAAAAATAAAGGTAGGCACCACAAGAGAAATTGAGCACGGAACAAGCTAGTAAGAACACAAAAAGGAGAATTACGTTTTAATGCTGGAAAGAAAACAAGGAAAAGAATGAAAGGGAGAAGAAGAAAGACAAGTTCAATCCTGAATTTCATCAGTTTTCTCTGGGGGCATGGAAAATGTGGCAAAGTATACTGATGATGTATTCCTCTAAGTAAGAGTTATTGATGGCATAAAAATAAGACTACTGATACAGAGAATTGTGCTGATCTGTGATCCCCTTATTCCATTTTGTACAGTGTGATAGTTCTTCATCTAGATGTTAAATCACTCTGACTGGTTGTCCCATTTAAAACTCCTTAAAGTGTTAAAGTGGCAAAGTGTATCTCTCAAAATTATTGCTCCAGCTGTTCCATAGTCTCTCTTACTACCAAGTGATGCCATTGTGTCAGTTGGATTCTAAATATCCACAATGAAAAAGCATCCTGAAATTACTGATCCTGCATCAAATGCTACATTTGCCCTTGTTACTTCTAGGTATGATACGTGGCTTTTAGAGTTACAGGAATATAAGGTACTGTGGATCTCTCGTTCTTCTGGATAAGCAAGAAAGACTTATGGAAAGTGTAAAGAAACTGTTAGATCTGTAGTCATTTAGCCTGCAGCCTGTCTGAAAAGCCATTGGTTAACCAGCACAAACTTTGTAATCTGAGAATTGAAGACAAGCAACACAGAAGGATAAGAGTTTACCTTCATGGAGTAATTCATGCCAGAAAATTTTGTGAATTCCACAGTAAACGTGAGCTCAGATTAAGCCACATTTTTCAGGATTCTTTTAAGACATTTTATTAACATTTTGATTTTTCTTAAATTGAAAATGGGATTATGAAAAAAATTTGGGAATTTTGTGTTTTGTTTTTTTTTTTTAAATGAAGTAACTTTTTTGTGATTTATCTTTTTTTTTTTTTTAAAAACCTGAACTAGAGAAGTACTTAAAAGTTGAGATTAATAAAAGCTGGAATTCTCAACATTATAACATTTTATGCAAAGCTGTTAAAAAACCTAACCATATATAAATTACAGAAATAAAATATACAGGGAAATACACACCAGTATTGAGACAATTGCATTCTTGTTTCATTCAGTCTCATGCAATGTCCAGACTGGGGGCAGAGTGGCTGGAAAGCTGCTCGGTGGAAAAGGGACCTGGGGGTGCTGGTTGGCAGTGGCTGCACATGATCCAGCAGTGTACCCAGGTGGCCAAGAAGGCCAATGGCATCCTGGCTTGTATTAGTTATGTGTCCCAGCAGGACCAGGGCAGTATTTGTCCCCCTGTACTCAGCGCTATTGAGGACACACCTCAAATCCTGCGTTCGGTTTTGGGCCCCTCACTACAAGAAAGATATTAAAGTGCTAAACATTGGACATTGGGAAAAGATTTCTTCACGGGAGGGGTTATCAAGCCTTGGAACAGGCTGCTTAGGGAACTGGCATCCCTGGAGGTATTTGAAAGACATGTAGATGTGGGACATGAAGGACATGGTTTAGGGTTGGACTTTGCAGTGCTAGGTTAGAAGTTGGACTCAATGACCTTAGAGATCTTTTCCAACCTGGATGATCTATGATTCTGTGAGTTTTACATTGTCATATGGAAATGTTAAGGAAAATGTTTAGGAAAAACATGAAGTATGAATGCAATGTTGCAATTTGACTTAGGCATTTTGATTTATGTTGCTCAAAGAATTGCTGGAAACATCTTTATGTTACAACTATTTGCTTCTATTACATCATAGCAGGCATTTAAATGCATAGATTTAGTTAAAATATGTATTTGACATCTGGATATGATGTATTGCTAGGAAAAACAGTTTCTGTGTTTGTATATGCTGTTCTAAATAACATAATATGCAATATATGTGGCTTTAATTTTTCTTTTTCAAATGTATCTAAAGTTTTAGAATTCTGAAATGATTTTTCATTTGTGTTCATATAGACAGGCATGATGATTCTTGAGTGTCCATTAAAATTTGATATAATTTTCTTTTTTTTTTTTAAATTTGTTAGCTGGAGAATAGAACGTGTTTTAAATACAGTTAATATTTTGTTAATTACTATTATTTACGAAGAGGAAAGGAAACATCTATCATGGCAATAATTATTACATTTTGTCTGCAATTAGCAGGCAATTCAATATATGGTGAAATGAAATCTGTAGAGTATCAGTGGTATGTTTTACACCATTTATTAGTAGAACAGTTAATTTACCTATCCCCCAACAGTCTGGATTGTAATACTGAGAAGTGACATTTTAGAGTGTTATGTCTGTCTTCATTTCAGATTTTAAATATTCCCCTTCTAAAGAAAGGGGCATGTGAGGCAGAATAAGAAGGAATCTACCTGAGCAAATCTTTTAAAATTCTTCCCAGGAGAAGACACAATCTGTCACACAGCATATATTAATGTGATTAGAATATTTTCTAAAGAAAAATAAATTGTACTGCTAGTGCTGGGATATACCTTTGGGTTTTGCTTAGAAATGTCATGGCAATGTGGAAAATTGATTGAAACATTCCCTTGAGTTAAACCTTGAGTTTGGTGTTTGAACAATACTCAGTGAAGCTCAACTGTGATTCACAGGAATTTCATTATTTTGGGTTACTACCATGATATTTTCTTTGGCATTTCTGATTTTGTTGTGGCAGTATACTTGCATGCATAAAGGAGGCCAAAATTAACTTGGAGTGCAATACACACAACAAATATGACCTCTCATTCTGTATATATCTCAGGGTTTTTTAAGAGCTCTCTTTTCATGTAGGATCAGCACTGATCCTATATAAAAATAAGTTAAAACTCCCCAGATATTTAAGAGTTTATCAATTCCAAATCTAAATTTATATACATTAGCTCAAAAGATATGCAACCTAATCTCAATTCCAAAATTCTGTGTGTGATTTTTGCCAATTTATTGTCACACAATCTGGGAGAATAAAAAGGGTGATCAAATCAGATGAATGGCTTTGCTCATGTAATTAGTAAATTAGGAATTTTTAAAATCCAGAACAAGTTTTTTTGACAACTTATTTTTTCCTAAGCAGAAAATGCAATCCCATCTGGTAGTTTCTATATCAGTTCTACTAAGTAAGGATGTGTTTTTCGGGGTCTGGTGGAGTATGTGATGTGTGTGGAGTTATAAGAAGAGAAGGAGATGTCTACTTGAAAAGGATGAATAGTTCTTCAATCTCTTTAAAAGGTCTCCGTAGATAGGTAGAGGTCTCCAAGATCCAAGGGATTTCTCTCATTGCTCCCAGCTGTATGTCCAGCTGATCGCAAGACTAAGCCTGTATTCCAAAGATGCCAATATCTACATATGTATGGATGGCTGGTCACACAGACTAACGTGGATAGAGGCAAGAGTCATATTGGCACCCACAGAAACACCAACAGCCCTGAAACGGACATGAAAACCACAGGCAACCAAATCCTGTTTCTGTGTTTGGGTTGATGGGAAAAGGAGTTTGCCAGAAGTGACACAGACTCACACACGCACATGCATGTGCTCCTACAACCTTCCATATCCTGACCCAGGAGCTGGACCCCAGATCCCACTCCTACCAGGTGCTGCCAACCTTGTGACCAATGGACCTTTTTCCAGCTGGCCCTGATCTCATTCTGCTCACCAGGCAATCCATACTAATGTTCACTAGTGGTCACACACGTGTTCACACTCTGGACAGAAGACACACTTGCACACTAGTCAGGAACAGAGTTTTAAAGTAATAGAGGACAGGCTACAGTGGTTAGGTGCAGGGATTAGTGAGAGAGGATTAACCCTATCTCTATTCCCACACTTTTTTCTCTCTTAACTAGCATGATCCACACCGTTATCTTCCTTTGGCCCTCAACATACCACAAAAAGTTTTGCAGTCTTCGACTTCCATTTTAAAAAAAATCTCATCTTCACTTTTACGTAATCTCACAAATTCCCTGTAATAGTCCACAGCATTCTAATTTTCATGAGACCAAAGGCAATATTCTTTCCCCCATTGTAATTACTTACAAAGTTCTGATTGAAGAGCTTTAAGATTACAGTGATACATTTAATTTCTCATCAGTCAGAAACTAAAGAGTTCTGGTCTTTGTTAGTATCTCCACTAATTCCTGCTCATTAAAGCTTACACATGTGTGTATCCCATTCATTACTTCCCTTGTTTCTTGTCTTTACTTCCTGTACTGAAAGGTCCTTGGCTATGTTCATAAACCAAGTGTCCTTGCATTCCAGATACCCTTACAAGCTGTATTTCTTAGGTGTGATTGAGTTGCATTAACATAAATATTTAATGCAATTCAGACAATGTCAAGAATACTGTAAAAACCCCCACTATAAGACAATTGTACTGAGAGCTTCTAAAGCTGCATGTGAAGTCATGAGGTTTCTGTGCTTAGACAACTGAGTCAAGCACAGTATATATAGCTTGGGTTTTACTACCCTGTTTGGGCAGCTGGGAGCTGGTGGTAGTGGGAGGAGGGAGAGTATTGAGGGTTGTAGGCAGGGGAAATATTTGTTTGTTTTTTAATTAAATTATGTCTGATATGAAAAATCTGTTGTACATGAGAGTACCCAAAGATCTTCATCTACCATGTTAATCTGCAATCACATGAATGGATCTTACTAAGTATAACATCATCAGATATGTTTGACAGAGCCTGAATCATTGGTTTATAACTGTCATGATAAAACTGAAAATGATAGTATACTTGAGGTCTCAGTAATCACTTAAACTAGCTAATGGATTCCCCTGTTTCTTTTTCTTGGCTTTTCTGTGCATTCTACCCGGAGATCATGGTTAGATTCTCAGTTAAAAATGCAAAAGTGATTTAATCGTGTGTCTTGATCTTTAAGTCTGTTTATTGTTATTATGTTATTGTGATATATCTTCCTTTCTAAATGTGCGATTTATGTCTGATAGTTGGCAAAAAATCATACTGTTGACATATGCCACATCTTATTAAGAGACCTCCCTTTTTTAGGTGAAAGTGCTGCTGCTACTGTAAGTGCCATTAGAATATAATGTAATATATTTTATAACCTTTCCTTTCACTGCTGCTGTGCAAGGATACTGATGACTGCAAGAAATAAGGTTAATCTTTCCCATTCCACCATAAACAGTTTGTAATTTTGAGCATACATAGTGCATCATTGGATTTTACACAAAAATTCAAGCATACATCTTTGAATTCTAGAAATCAAACATCCGTATTTTGCAGCTAAAGGCAAAAGTGGAAGTGGTGTCAAAACAAAAAGACCTCTTGCAAAGATTTTTTGACTCTAAAATCTGGAGAGATACTAATTTTTAGAAAATTTAGATTATCCTGATTTTCTGAACAATACAATAATGAAATGCATGAATTTTAACCTTAGCTTAATTACATTGATGTTAATAGGGTGATATGTAAATCTAATTCTACTTTTTCTAATAGGAGTGCAGTTCACCTTCTACACCTTTCACCTGGAGGATCACCATGACTACTTACTAATAACAGAGAATGGCAGTTTCACACAGCCATTAGCACGTCTGACTGGCTCAGAGCTTCCTTCACCAATCAATGCTGGTCTCTATGGAAATTTCAGGGCTCAATTGCGCTTTATTTCAGATTTTTCAATATCATATGAAGGATTTAATATTTCTTTCTCTGGTAAGGACATACCTATAATACCTGGTTCCTGAAAAAGTTGATGGTTTGGGTTGGTTTGGGGGTTTTTTGTTCGGTTGGTTGGTTTTATTCTGTATTTTATATAAAGAAAAAAAAGGTTAAAAAATGAAGTGATTTTAGTGAATACATATACTGAATAATTAAATTATATAAGCTGTTTCCTAAGCACAATAATTTCAAAGCAAGCAAACCTTTCTGCCTCTATAGAGGCAGAGGACACATTTCTGCTACAGGATAAATAAGATAGCAGTAAACTAACTGTAAGATACTTTATCAAGTGAGGGGAGGAAACAGAACTAGTCTAATTTCAGCTAGTGAAGTTCCAGATGATCCAAAGTGTCAGTTATTTAGGGTTGTGCTGTGCCATTGTTTTAGTTTGTTTTATATACCTGAGATATTTGTGGCTCTTACAAGAGTGATAAATAATGTTGTTTTATGTATCTTAAAAACGTGAATGTATTAATTTGTCTTACTTTTTGATGTAATATAATTGTCCATTTAACACTCACACATTCATTTTGTTTTAAAACCTGGAGTCTGTGTTGATAGGTGGAAATATAGAGAAATTACTAGACTGCAAGATTACAAATATGACTGGTAGAACACATGTTCTCACTTGTACAAACTGACTTGCTGTCTTGTTTTCAGAGTATAATCTTGAACCTTGTGAAGATCCTGGGATCCCACAATTTGGTAACAGAATAGGATTTAATTTTGGAGTGGGAGATATTCTGACATTCTCCTGTTCTTCTGGATATCGTTTAGAAGGAGCTTCAGAGGTTATTTGTCTTGGTGGTGGACGACGAGTATGGAGTGCACCTCTTCCAAGGTGTGTGGGTACGTGGTCAGCTGCTTTCATTTGCTTGTATGTGTAGTCATTGTCCATGGACTTGCAGATTTACAGCATGGAAAAGCATGGTAATGCACCTCTTACTTTTTAATGTACTCTCATATCCTCCATATCTCCTTAGTAAATTTTTTTTTAACCTTTTTGTAATATATTTGGTATTATAACTATCAGTGGACTTCATACTCTCTGTTTGAAAGCAATTCAAAATTATGTAAATGTAGTTAGAGCACTTAGACCAGATTTACTTCATAAAACTAAGTCCATATATAGAAGTACAGTCAACATGTCCTTCCTATACAAGAACTATATCCTCAGAATATCCTTAGAACAGTTGTTCTGGTTTTAAAATTATAGCTAAGATAACTGAGAGGAAACACTTTCTAATGGTTCCTAGCACTCTCCACTCACTGTAGGGGTAGCCTATCTATGTAGCTTTGACTAGGAGCTTAGCTTTTAATAGCTAGAGAATATTGTTTGAGCTGAATTATTCCAAAATTATTTACTTTTCAGTTCTGTTGAGAACTGTTAAAACAAGATCTCTAAAAAGTAGGATAGTTACTTAAGTGTCTGTATTAGTTTTAATTTATTTGAGTATATATTTTTGAAATTTCTTAAAGAGTATGTGCTGTATGGAAAGTTTTACACATGAAAACATCTGTATCACTGTGCATTTGAAATATTTTATTTTTTCATACTAAATTGTATGATAGTAAGACATAAGTGTCTTTCAGATGCTGATTGTATAATATCTATGGATTGTTTCTGTGCTTCTTCTTATTAATTTTTAGCTACTGTGTCATAATTTTTGTGTCCAAACTATTTCTATGCTTACCTTGGTATAAGAAAAAATATGAATTTAGCATTTATGTATGCACCTACAGAAGAGAAGGTTTAGAAGCTGAGTAAGAGCAATGGATGAATAAAAGTTATTTTTATGTTGGGGTTGATAAATTTGAACCCACAGAATAATAATGAATGCATGCACAGTCATGAAGAGAGGCTAAATTTCAGTGATACATTTCTGGAAGTGTTAGTATACTGCAAACAAATTGGTAAATTATTAGTAAAGGGGAACTTACACAGCAGCATAAATGAAAAAAAATGTTATTTAGGTTTCATGGCATAGAAAATAGTGTTTATGTTTGCATGTTGGGTGGCGAGAAGAGAAAACCTATAATATAAGGAATAAATTATTTTCTAGTTGACGTACTTTCTCCTTACCTTTGAAAGTTAGTCTCAACTAGAATGACTTAATCAACAATTTTCCTCCCATAAGTATCAAACCTTTGTCAATTTTGTGCTTAATTTATATGTTGTAATAATGATAATAATGGAATCCAAATAAGTAGAGATTAGAAATTCCTGTTGACCACTTATATTGGATTTAAAGTTTATGTATTGTTATTGTTGCTCAAGCTTGACATTTTCTGTCAAAATGATTAAGGAGCTTGAATGCTTCTGATGTCATCTACATTTTCACATGCACACAACATCAACTGGGAACCAACCACTGCTCATAGTATTTGTGTTCAGCTTGTCAAGACAAGAATAAAATGCAAGAAAGACAGATAAAAGAGAAGAAGTTTAGTGGAAGGCCAGGCATCCCTTTCTGGATACAAGGGCCAATGTGCTGAGTCTTGAAATAGAGTAGTCAATCATAATCAATTCTAAACCAAATATTTTGCCAGTGAATTAAAAACTGTCTTTCCTTTTCTTGTTGAGAAGCTGGATAAATATTTTTATTTATTAATTAATGTTATAATTATTCATTTTATGAAGTTTTTTTCAAGATATTTTGACTTAAGAAATGAAATTTTGAAATTAAGATTCAAGAAATGAAAAAGTAATGTTCAAATAGCAGATAAATTTTTTTTAACTGAATTTTTAAAGCTGACTTGCTTAAATGATGGCATTATCTCTATTCCATCAGGCTTGATGTTGTACTGAAACGATTTTTATATCAAGTTTTTTTTCTAAAAAAGCATAAAGATCTTTCATATTTCTGTCCACCATATGATGATTCAGCACATTCTGGGGTAGATGTCTGTAGTTACTCATGAGCAAGCACTTTTTGGTGATAGCTGAAAACCTGGTGTATTATCCATAATGTTTTGATTCATAAATCTAAAACACCCACTGTATGAGTCATGATGAATTAACTCCAACACAGCCAACAGTACAAACTGTTAATAAATGGATGTATCTAACTATTAAAGAAAAGAGTCCATAATCTTTAAATTGCTTGCTTTGAACTTTTCCATGGACAGTGAAAAAATTTCTCTTTTTGACTCTAAATAATAGATTCTTAAAAAAAATACTTCTAGTAAGTATGAATGCTTGTTTACTTTTGGCTTTTTGTAGAAGCAAAATCTATAGTCTTAAGGAATCAAGATTTTCATCAATATGGTAGTGGTTAGGCTCCAACTTGTAACATAGAGCAGAGGTCTCATCTTAAGTTTGTGAATATGGAATTGTTTTTGTAGAGTTGTAGTGCCTCTGAAATGGTTCTGATGCATTCAGAGTTCAGGTGTCTTTGCCTAGTTATCTTTTTAATTTTCTATACCATAGTTAGATTACAAGAAACTAGTTTGAATTTTCCCGTAACTGTGTTACAGACAAGAAAAAACTAGAGAAATTGTTGTTGCTTTCAAGGGAAAAATAGTGAAATAGATAAAATTAAACTTTTCTTATAATCGGTAATGGAATGGATATGATTAAAGATCTGTTTGAATACTGTCACTCCTTTGTTTCTTGGTTTATTTTCATGCTATATTCAAATGATAACCAAAGGCAGTGTTCACACTCAGCACAGCACACACACTGTTTTCTTGGAATTACTTCTCTTTCCAGTGAAATGTACAAAGTGGTCTCTACTATGACAAGATTTCTTCTGTCTTCATAGCTGCCCAACTGTATCAGGCCTTTTCCTTTGTCCATCTTTGAGCTGTACAATTTCTTTCCAGTCTAATAAACCAGAACTGGAAGACATTGACTTTAAGGCTTTTTTTATTTCTTTTGCTCATATGTTACTTACACTTATATTTCTCCTTATCACATTTTCTGTCCATTTTTCTCAGTAGGTCCTAAACAGTCTCTGGTGTTCTGAACTTACAGATTTCCAAGGAACTATGACCCTTGCAAATATAAAAACCGGACAAACAAACATAGAAAATCTACAGGCAAATTAATTAATTTCTATAATGCTGGATACTTTTCAGATAATATTTTGCTGGTAAAGATTTTTACCAAGCTGTTCACTGATGTAGTTTCTTTGCCAAGCTCAAGTTAGGGTACTTTTCAGGGAATATCTGTGGAGGAAAAAAAATATTTTAAAGGTTCTATTGTATGAGAGAAAAAATAAATTCAGTGTTGACTAAAGCACAGTTATGCAACCAATGAAGTGAAAGTTCTACATCAGATACATCTGTAGTAAGCTCCTTAATTAGCAGGACAGCTATTAGCTACCCTCTGCACATCTTATTCCATATGCCATTAGAGTCTTGCTGCATAGCAAGACATATGCACATCCATTTCTGTGCATACAAAAAATTTCAGGCAAAGGTTGCTTTTAATATATTTTGTTTGGAAAAATGTCCTTTTGCTAGTTTTGAGATTTCTTTTAATATGAGGAGTGTCTTAGCAGCATGAAGTCTGAGTTTAAGGGCTGTGATATCCACTTATAAATGTAATTGATTCATCTCAGAACAAACTAATCCTAATTTTTCTTCTGTTTGTAAGAAGTAAAATTATTCCTTTAAATATTTCTCCTATCATATCCTAATATGTTGTATACCTGTTATTTTCTTCTTCTTTTTCTTCCTGAAAAAAGCAAAATACTGTAATTGAGGGCTTACCATATGTTAGTATAATAGCATTATATTGTTATAAGCACTTTCTTAATATTTATCATTTATTTTAATATTTTACATCCAGTTTTAACTAAAATTTTCACTATGTTCCAGGAGGTCTTGAGTTATTTTGTGGAGGATTTTTTTTCTCCATTTTTTTTTGTGGTTTGGGATAATTTTTTTTGTGTTGGTCTTTTTTTATAAGAATGTTAGGTTATTTTAAAGAAAAATCATGCACATTGGTACTTTAAATTGTCCTAATATAGAATATGGTTTTGTTAATACAATTTACCTTGTTAATACTAACACAGGAGCTTGTTTGTCATGCTATTTCTTTATCATCCTTTGGTCAAGTGCAGTGCAGGAGCATATTGTTTAAAGTATTTGGGACTCCTCCCCATTTCTTGTCAGCTGGAGCTATTACCTATGAAAAATAATATTATTAATGTATGTAATTCTTTATAAGAAAGGTTTATTTTGTATTTGGCCACTGGCCATTTGGCCATTGATGTAGAACCATCATCTTGCTGTAAAAATATGTGTAGGTTTTAAGTACTGGATCTTCACAGATCTGGAAATACTGTCTTTCATTAAAACATAAATAATGTAGTCATAAAGCAGCTAAAGAAGTATTTGCAAAGCATATTGAAAGTAGGTTTAATACACAAACAGCCACATGAATCTTTTGATGTTCAGATGAACTCTAATGTAGTACATATGCTACAGATACATAATAAGAAATCGTTGTTATTAATTTTTGTCTCTATGAAAGGAAGTCTTGTATTTTTGAACAATATGAAATAAAAGTAATCCCACCATTCCCACTGACTGAAGAAGACAATGTTCTTTTCATTTTCTTCATCAGCATATGGTTCCTTGTACCTAACACTGTTAGTACAAAAACCATCTGGAAAACTTGTGATGGCCTTATAACTCATGCTATTCACAGAAAGAAATCTTCAGTAACAACCTAAGCCTTTCAGGATTTCCGTGTTATCCTCTGTTTTGCTGTCTTGTTTTGACAAGAGTCTATTTTCCAGTTTGTACCAGGCATCAGTTGAAAAGGTAGAAATTCTAAAGGCTAACAGCTTTATAAGATACAGTTTGTTGAGCACTGAATTTAGATACGGTTTCTGAAGTAGCTGTTGATTTACAGTCTAATACAAAGTTTCTTAAAGATAAAATCCTTTTTAGAATGCTTCCACTTACTTGTCCAGTCAAGCTGTTGCAATACAAAGTCTCCTAACCAAGAGATAACATCTTTTCAAAACACAGAGCTGCTAGATGAAACTCTTATCTTTTGATTCCAAGGAATTGTATTGAAGAAAATTTCGCTCTGGCTGAATTTCAATCTGTAGCAGCACATCATCTTTTTTTTATTGATAATTATTTATGTAGAGAATTGCAATATTCTCCTAATAATTTTTTTTTTAAAAGCCATTCAATTCATTGAAGCATTGTGTCCAAATGGATAAGTTACCCAATCAGATGCATTTCTTTCCTTGGTTACACTAACAGTGACATTTTACATGATTACAGAATTTAAATACACTAATAAACAACAGTTTATTACTCATCTGTGTTATTATGGAAATATGCAGTAAACACACATTCATAGCTAGAAGTGTATTTATTATAAATATCTCACCACATAAGTTTTTACCTTTCATTATTTTTCTTTGAGTTTTTATTTTCCCTTCTAATACAAAAATGATCCTATATTTCTGCCAAAGTTCAGAAACAGTGGTTTAATTCGATCTTACTGTTACATCCTTGTATTTTATGTAAGGCTGATTAAAAGTCTTTGGGAAAACATAGCTGGATGTGAAATATTTTTCCATATTTCTTTTTTTTTTCTATAAGATGAGCGTGTAGCATAGTTTCTAAGTTTCAGCTGAAGCAAGTGGATTTTTTAAAAAACCCAAAATATTGTAGTTAAAACAACATAAATTTCATCTCTGTTGAACAGGGAATGCTACTAAAATGAAATATTAAGGCAGTAATAATATATTTGTAATTTCTGGTAATAGCTCTAATTATGTTTTAAAGGATGGTTACAGACTCTCTGCTCCTCTGTAAATTTTCCCTTACTCTGAAATAAGGTTTTATTACTTATTTTCTCCCTTCTGTGTTTCCCTCTTTACACATTTTCCCTTAATTTTTTACTGGTTTACCTCTCTTTTTATCTGTAATGCCTGCTAAAATTATTTTTCCAAACACTTTAAATCACATATGTTTAATATTTGTATTAAGTTTAAGTTTAATTAAGTTTATTTTAAACTTAAGAAATTGGTTAACATTATTTTTTCCTAACACTTTTTTACTCAGTACATAATTGCACGTAGAAAAGTTATGGTCTCTTTCTATTTGTGCTCTAGTATTAACATCAAAGGATAGAAGGAAACTGTAGGTTACATGAAGTTCCATGTAATTTTAGACAACCTGTTTATGTTTATAGATAGAAGTGGAGATTGGCAGATAGAACTGTCAATGGTATAGTTTGGGAGGTCTTATAATACTAATTGAGTATCTTACCAGTTTGATTCAGCACTTATCCAGAAATATACTCCTGGGTTTTTTTTGTATGTGTGTGTGTGTTTGATTCTTTGTAATTAGTTGTTTTGTTGTGTTTTTTTAAGTCATAATTTACTCTGGCAGGAGGCAAGAAGAAAAGCTGGGAACTAACTGTTGATTTTGTCAGAATTCCTCTGAGAAGTGTACGAAGGAGCCACTGTTGTAGGCTGCACTGAATGCTATGGGAGAAATTCTATTACACTGTGGTTTTCAAGACTGCTGTTGCTAAACTATCTTTCTTGTCTGCTAACACAAGGGTTGCAATCATACAAAGAGTCACAGAATAGTTTGGGTTGGAAGGGACCTTTGAATATCATGTAGTGCATCCCTTTGTCATGGGTGGGAATATTTTTCACTAGATCAGGTTGCTCAAAGCCTCATCCAGCCTGACTTTGAACACTTCCAGGGACAGGGTATCCACAACTCGAAACACAATACTCTCTCTCTAAATTTAGAAAATTCAAATCAGATTGATAAATATTATGACATGAAAATATTCCTTGTTTGTAACAGAAAATCTAGCATGATTCTGAAATATTAGTTAAAAATCTCCTAACAGTTAGCTCTCTACTGGGATCAGATTTTAAAAAACTGATTTGAATTATAGTTCTGATATAACCTAGGGTTGTTGGATCAACTTAATACCATAATTACCTTATGCCTTTTGGCTCTTATATCTCTTTGTAATTGGAAAAGATATCTCACAAACTTGAAATTACAATCATCTTACTCCTTCATGTTATAATTCAAAGTGACCTGTGCATCTTCAGAGCAAGCAAATACCCATTTATTTGAGGATGAAATAAAAGGATAGATGTGATCATGTGGACTAGGAGGTTTTCCACTTCTGCCTAGAGTATGTGTATTCAACTATTCTAAGAGAAAGTAATGAATTATTTGTGTACTTGTTCTGTATTGCTGAACTGAACATAGTCATCAAACATTTGTTCTGCTTTGATCTGTATCTGGTTTGGCTTTCTGCACAACATTTGCTTTAGCAATACAGGAAGCATAGTTAATCAAGTTGGTTGGGATTTTTTGTCATTTGTGGTACAAAATTCATGTAAAAAGATATATATTTCAATATCCTGAATGTTGCTAAAACAAGTCTGGGATGGGAATTATAATAATATTAATAAAAAATAAAAGGTTTTAGAATACACACCATCATTTGTTTAAGCATCTTTTCAAATCATTAAAAGTATCACATAGTTTTGCAAAACGAAGTGTCTTATTTTGTGTAATTATAAACTAATGAAATTCCGGGGTTAAAATAACTGAAGTGCATTCTCATAAGACTGGGTAAAATAAATGGCAAGAATATTGAAATGATCCTGAAAACAAACATAAACCCTAAAAATTTAGTGTTACAGTTAAATTTAAAATTAATTTCAATCTGAAGGAAATACTCCTGTCCTTGCACTATATTGCCACATATCAAGACTAAATAAAAAGTGAAGGAAAGAATTGTAATAGTTTCTCAGTGTTTATTAAAATACCTGGTACAAAATGCCTGCTACTTAATTGCCAAAATCTTGAATTATAAGGTTTACTTTTTGGAATAATATCAGTATTACTTGGGAATACTTTTTTATTTTTATTTTTAAATCTTAAATCTATTTGATTTGTCTGGGGTTTTTTTCCCCCAAAGTTATGTTTTTCTACTTCTTTATTCTTGTAATTATTTTTTTCTATATCTGTCTGGTAGAAATAACATAGCTATTTTTCAACTGTACCATTGACTTTGTTAGTTATTTTAATAAATTACTATTAGAGAAAAAAAAATCTCTTTTTTCCACTAATCTATGTGAAAATATATGTATCTGCATGTATGTATATTTATGCATGTGCATGCATCTATAAATAAATATGCATATAAATTTCTAGAATTCTTTTATTTTCATTTAATTTGCAAGTCTTTATGAATTTCTGTGTTGGAGAACTTATATTTCCTCCATAATAAAATTCAAGAAAGATCCTTTAAAACATTATAATTATGAAATGTGCACTGTTATGGTTTTAACTCTTTGTGTTTTTTAACATACATTTATTAAAGTGTTGAAATAGAAATATCCTCGCAGCCTCCAATCACTATCGTGGTCATATACTTAGAACTAGATTTTAGATATTAATAAATGTTATTAATTTTGAATCAGGTCACATTAACATTACCATTATCAACATTACTAAAAATATTTATGTGTTTTATTAAAATATGCCTTAACATTTTCTTTTAATTGCAGCTGAATGTGGAGCGTCCACAACAAATAATGAAGGAATCTTATTGTCTCCCAATTATCCTCTTAACTATGAAAACAACCATGAATGTATTTATAGCATTCAGGTACAAGCAGGGAAAGGAATCAATATTTCTGCCAGAACATTTCACTTAGCCCAAGGAGATGTTCTTAAGGTATGTAATCATGTAACTTATCTTGTAGTTCCTCATATCACTGAAATTTATCTGTGATAGTACAGTATCAGGGAAGTTGATATTAAGCATCTCTTAGAAAATATGTTTCTCAACCGGTTCTATTTTTAAAAAGTTAAAAATTAGACAACCTGAGGTGGCTCAATAATCTGTTTCTTAAAAAATCATTTTCTGACCACAGATAATTAAAGAGATGTAAATCATAAACCTAATGTTGCCTTAATGTGTATTTGTATTCTATTTTTAGTGTTTAATATTAATCAATAACATCTTTTGATCTGTTTACTTACTCAGTATCTTCATAACTTCAACTGTGATCTAAACATAATAAATATAATACCCAGTACTTTTAAGCACAGCAATTACATGTGAATAGAATTTTTGCACTAAAAAGAGAAACAATAGAGGGAAAAACATGGTACTAGAGCCTACCAGAGTTTTATAGAGTGATTTCACCTTATAAATTCAGTAGCTTTTTTAGTAGATTTGTTCATAGATTTTATTACTGCACTCCAAAAAGTATATTTCCAGATGCATATATTGCTTAACCAACTACACATTTAAAGATGATGTTGATCAGGGTGAGTGCCTTTTTAGCACATACCATCTGCAATAGCACACCAATGCAATAAGATATCCATAAAGCAATTAAATAATTGTCTGATTGTTCAAATATAAATCAAATGGTTAAAAAAAAAGAAGTATTACGTTCTTCTTAAAACACAAGCAAAGAAAAATAAACCTAAGGCTACTAGGTACCCAGAATGCACAGGTATGTTTATTTTATCTTGAACTCACTGCTTACTTCAGAAGCAAGTAGATACCTTTTAATTGTTACATTAATCAACATAGAAAGAATTAATTCAAAAGTTACTTAATATTTATTAATATATAGTTATATTAATACTATAAAATTATTTATTAATATTTATTTATATAGCATGGGAAAAAAAAACCAAAACAACCAACCAAGTAACCAACCAACCAAAAAAGTTGTTCAATTTACCGTTAAAATATTCAGATGGTGTATGTAAGTATGTAATTTCAAAAATTTTGGAATTTCCTAATAAAGCAGAAAAATTAGTGAAGTACTGGTTATATCTTTAAATTAACCAAAATTAGCATCAGATTTGAAGTCAGATCTTTCTTACATTTGAACTTGAATCGTTATCCATTCAAGTCACTATCATATTTCTGTCCACATGTTTTATGCCCATCCAATAAAAGTATAGGGCTGCATTTTTCTCAAGACTTTTTAGGTTGAAACCATTCAACTCTATTATATTGGTTTAAAAGTCATAGAACTGTAAGGATGTTAGCTGCAGTTATATACAGTTAGATAAATATAAGTTAATATGAATGTAAAGCAATTCAACTTTTTTCTTCTTTTTCTTTCTTAATCATTTAATGCACATACAATTTGGAAAGATCTATGACATGATTTTTCAAGTGCCATTAGTACCATGTGCACTGCAGATGTTAAACTAGAAAATGTTAATTCAGAGGCTTTTAAAAGAAAATTCTCCTTTAATACTAGTACTCAATTAATGTGAAATTAAGAGTAATACATATTACTTATAGATAGAGGAAGGTCACTATTCAGCTATAAATGTCAGTGGTAAAAGTATTAGCTGTGTTTTGCAGGTGCATTTTTTAAGTGAAACTAGTATTGTGTAATTAAAGTGTTTGTTTTTCGAATCAGCAGCCTTGAATCATAATAAGAACCTGGAGTTCCTCCCAAGCTATTAAAAGAAAAACAAACCCACCATAAAAAACAGTTCCAAGAAGTAGTTCTTATGAAAAGCCCTTTTTCAGCCTATCTGACATCATAGCAAGACAAAGGCACTTGACTTTTGATACTGTGGGAAGAAATGATACCTGTGGAACCCACTGTGTCTCTTTTTACCTCCTTTCTTAGATGAAACTGCCTTAATTCTGTCACACGCTTTTTTCATGTGTTCATTTGATAGAGGAAAATTCTCCAGGAAATACATTAGCAGTCACACATTCCAAAACTTTTCTCACAGACCCAGTTCTGAAGTTTCTATTGATCCCTATTATTATTGATTACTTCTCATCTCCAGAAGCTGGAAAAGAATCAGTGGAAGATTTTGTGTGCGACTGACTTGGGAATATGCCTAACATTTATCATTAATATCTTCAACATCAGGAAAGTAGTCTTGCTTACCCACATATTTTTTTCCTGCATTCCCTTAGACTGATTTGTGTTAATCCCAGTGAAATGTTTTTGAAGATAAGTTTGCAGGAACTTCCTTTTATTTTTGTAGAACTGGAAATGAAAATATAAAAAAAGGAAGGAACTGCCTGATTTGCCTATTTTGCTGACTGTAGAGAATAAACTCTTAACTACAGGAATAGGAAATTAGGGTTATACTTTAGTTTTAAATGAATCAATAATAGTCAACAAATGCTGTAAACCTATCTAATATGTATCACTACTTTGTAAATAGAAGGAACTTAAGTTAAAAAAAAAAGGAAAAATTATCATTCAATCTTACAAAAAACAGTCTTACAGAAAACAGAAACGGGTAATACACAATTCCCCTTTAACTTTGAACGAGGGAGAGTAAGGAATTCACTGTTTTAAAATCAAGATACTTAAAACAGCAACTTCCAGACAGGTCTTCCTTCCCCCAAACACAAATATTTTATAGTTAAAGCTCCAGTTTTTAGTAACCAACTTTGGTTAAGAAGTGAATAATGCATCTCTTCTTATCAGAACTGACATGAAAATTCTGACAAATTAATCATGTACTTTGTGTTACTTTTTCTTGCAGCTAAGATTTTACATTACTAAACCTATGCAGCTAAAATTCCATTCAAAGTCTGAATAGACGGAGTATTGTAATAAGCTTTTGATATGTTCTTTAATGAAGTCATGAGGTCTGCTGCTTTCCACATGAATTAACTGACCATGGATCACATTTATATCTGACAAGCACTGTGTTTGAAACAGTGAAACAGCAGTACTGGGAATGCAGCATTAGAGGGAAACAGCATATTTAACACAAATAAATCACCACCCTTACTGTTACTCCACAGGCAGAGAAGGAGGAGTTCCTTTTTATCAGTTTTGAACTGGTATAGAAAAGAGGTTTCAAAGCATATAATTTGTTTGTCATTTGCTTCACTTGGCATACAATTCTCTTGTTCTCTTTCTAATGTAACTGCTCTGGCTACTTACATTAATGGTGTAGTTCTTTTTGGTTTTTATTTCAAACTAAAAGAAATATATAACTCCCACTACATTTTTTTGAGTAGGGAAATAACCTGCTCTTGATAGTGTCACATCTTGTTTTAATATTTGTGAAAGTTACATGAAGACATATGTAGAAGATACATGAAGAATTTAAGATCTGTATGGTCATTATATGCCAATACATTTAATGTTAATCTCATAAACTCTGTAACAGTTGCTTCTTTCTATACAATTTTACTGATAATTGAGTTTGTGCACTATGTTTCCAGAATCCAGAATTTTTTAATTTAAACTACATATGTGGGAGGCAAACTAAAAAAAAAAAAAAAATGTTGTTTCCAAAGTATGAGAATATTTCTACCTGCTTTTTTTCCCCTGCTTTTATCTCCATCTGCCAGTTTTTCTTGTAAACTCTCTAGTCTGTGATAGCTGCAAGCAAATCCTTTAGATTTACACAGAAAGGAGCACAGTCACTATTCTTCTTTTTGCCTGAATAGTCCATTGTTAGTGGTGAACACTTTATTTGTGTTCAAATCAGTTGAATGTAGAAAATATTCTTCTGATTCAAAGATATTTTAATATACTTCTTTATTTTATGGGGGAAAAGATACTTTTATTAAAATTGAAGCTTGAACAAAGCTAATATGACTGTTTCATTTCTTTTCAGTAAATTTCAATATAAATAAAAATGTACCTATGCAGGGTACTAATTAATAGGTAATTTACTGGTAATGTTTAAAAAAGAAACCAAACCTCCACCCTAAAAATTCAGCAGGCAGATTCCATTAAGTAAACATAAAATAAAAGACAGAGGAACAGAAAGTATGAAAAGGACTGAGATGGAAAAAGAACATTAGATGTTTCTGCAGATCTTTTTTATCTTTTGTAGTAGATTACGTACTTGACCTTGTGTAGAGTGAGAACTGACATACCAAGTGAGATTGCATCTGTGTGGAAAAAATAGATTCAAGAATTATTTTGATACTGTAATGAAGCAATCTTTCTTTCTTCTTTTACTAGAGCACTCAGGGCAGCAACAGAAAGGTAACAGTGTGTCAGTGAAGAAAATAGAACTGGCAATCAGGATTCCCTTTTCCTGTGCTTGGCCCAGCACTGTTTGCTCTCCTGCCAAATATGGAGGATTCAGTTTTACTGCATTTGTTTGCTGTCTCATCTGTGGGCCAGATTTGAAATGTGTGCACATGATTCAGTTTTTGAGGGGGTTTGGGCAAAGACTTTGAGGGAAAGTGATTTTTGGGCCTTTTTGCTAATTTGTTTCTTAAGAATCTCCATGTTTTTTATCATAATACTTCTAGCAATGTCATTCGGAAAACATGAGTGAGAAATAGGTAATAAATGTAGGGAACAAAAAAACCCCCCCAAAACATATGGGCCCTTTTCTGTCTTTATATTAGTGCTTCTATTTGCATGTGGTATACATTTGACAGGGCGTTGACAGCCTCAGTTCTGAGCTGCTGATTTGACGTTATTTCTTCTCTTTATGAAGGCACAGATCATCATATCCATATGTCTTTTATGTTTCAATGGAAAATCTCAAAAATAGTTTGATTAAAATGCACAAATTTAATACATTCATTTCATGCTACTCTCTTGCTAAAATTTTAGATAGTTTAAAAAGTTAGCAGAAAAAAGGCATTAGTTTCCATTTAAAATTTGTTGATAATGGAGCCACTCAAAAGATTAACAAGGTTTATTTGCTCTCTAACTGTAAATGCAAACATAACTGCTCCTTCTCAAATTGAACATAACATCCATTAGTTCAAATCATATTTATATAGAGTGTTCACTGTTATCATCCTTCTCTATAACATTTCAAAATATTATTGTGATATGAAGAAGTTTAACATTATTTTGTGTCTTTACTCCTCTTTATGAATTAATGATTTAACAGATTAGGCCTTTAAATAGCTGATAAATATGGACCTCTGTTTTCTGAATAGCTTGTTACTGCTTATTCAGGCATTATACAGTCATGAATCAATTATCTTTGCACTAGTGTTACAGGATGACTTTAAGAAAAATATATCCAGCCAAATAATATTTTCATGATGATTATTCTTGGACTTATCTTTAGCACCCAAGGGAGTTAAATCCAGGTCTGTTGGCAAGACTTATAAGAAAGAATATTCCTATATTAAAAATAAGATAATGGTGCTGCCTTAAGTCATATATAATATAATTCACATTATCTCCCAGAAAAAATTATGAAGCTGAATTACTAACTCATTCAAAATCTTTAGCTCCCACCTAGTTTTAAAAAACCTCCACCTAATTTAACAAGGTTAGAAAGTACTACTTCTGCAAATCTCAGAAGGGTCTGTTACTACTTTGTTTGCAAGCTAAACTGTATCATTCAAATTTTTCTCTAAATTTCTGTCTTTTTCTATTAAATCAAATGCACAAAAAGATGATGGGACATAAATTGAAAGTTATACTACAAAACATGTGTTCATTTATTGTCCTAAGGGAGATCCACTGTCTCAAGAAAAGAGGTTTATGTTACTCTGAATGTCTGAAAGACAGTAACCAAAAGAAAAAAATTATTTCAGTTTCATGTTCAAATATATCACAAACGTGCCTCAGCCAGATGCAGTTTTCCTACTCAGAAGAATCAGTTTCAGAAGTGTTAGAGTACTTTAAATTCTGTTCCTTCATAGAAATTATATAGGGTTAACAGCATAATGCAGTGGGACAGCTGGTTAGCCCACGAAGTAGAATTAGTGTTAACAAGAGATGACAGTGGACTAATGCGAAAAGTTTAATATGGTAGGACATCTAACAAAACTGGCAATGAAATTATGTGTGGGGAAATTCTAACATGAAGAAAATTTGTATCATGATGTAGCTTGTTGGAAGTTCTGGTGAGACATTGAGAATAGTTGGTATAACTTATTAACAGCTTCCTTTGGTTAATTATTAGTGATACACACATAGCATGAAATGGATTACTCTTATAGAGTGTTTAAAAATAAAATAAATCCTGAATCCTTGGGTATTATTAGTTATAAGTACCTTGGAGAAATTAGGAGAAAGAGCATTGAATTCAAACTGGATTTTCTCTAAGTCTGTCATGATGCAATTATCTCTTTTGGATAACTGTAATTCTCCTTAAATGGGCATTTTTCTTTCAGTTACTGAAACAAAACTAAGTACATTTCAGATTAATTTTCGCGGGGGGGAGGGCGTTGTTTGTTTTTGTTGTTTTGTTTTGGAGGTTTTTTTGCTTGTTTTGTAGCTGGTTTTTTATACTGATCTCAGTATAGTTTTACAGAAGTTTTTCAAAAACATAAGAAATCTATTTTAATACTGCTGTACGTATTTTGAAATTACTTTTTATTTGATAAGCATTAATTGCACCTTTTCTTTTCTGTAATTTCATACGTTTACTCCATTTAAGGACACTGGCATTTAATTGAACTTTGTTGGGAATTTATTTGCTTGTGTCAATAAAAAACAAGGAATGATACCAAGTAATTTTGTTATGGATCTTGAACTGCTGTACAATTATTTACTCACTGCAGATAGCTAGAAATCACTTATTTCTTTTATTTCAGCATATGATTAAATGTAAAGTCTTTGTTATTACTAAAGACATGAGGATTTCTGGAAAATAGGATTTATGTGTGTGAGTCATTCTCTCAGATAGGGAACAGGCATCATAATGCTTCACATTCACTTTGTTGCCTTACTACTATTGCTGGTGTATTTGATTTAGTTCTGATAAAGCTTCCTGTTTACAAATGCAATTGAAATAATTACAAATAATTGAAAATTACAATTTCAACTACAAATAATTGAAAATTATTCGGAGGTCGATTGACTGATTTGTAAGTGCAATTTTTTTGTAAACCCCATTTATCAAAGTTTTAGTTGTTTTAGAAGTCACTAAATAAATCCTACGGGACATAATGAATGGGTTAGCGATTATTGTGAAGTTATAGGTTTTTACAGGAGTTACAGGAATCCAACAACCTGTGATGCTTTAAAGCAATCAAATTTGTAGGGAAATTTGCTGAGAATTATTAAAAGATTGTTCTATATATTTTGTATCTGATGAAAGTTTCTGGTTCAAATGTGCAAAAGAACAACACTCAAAGAAAAATAAATAAAAAAAGTGCTGTATTCCAATTTACATATAGATTACATTACTCTTTCAACTTACAGAAGCAGTTGCTAAATTTATTTCCTACTCTCCTTTTACTTTATAGTTATATTTGAACCTCTCTTCACATGGAAGAAAACCACCATAGGTTTAGATAAGCCAAAACTGGAGATATGTGAGCTTTTCTGTTATGCCATCTCAGTGACTTGAGGCAGATACAGCTACACAAAACAGGTGTTTGTTGATAGGCTGTGATCAACATTACATTACTGACAGTGAAAGAGAAAACACAAATTTAAAACGACTGAGATGATATAGCACCTCTGCCCACTTCTACTGTTATGCGAAAAAGGAATTGACATATTTTAAACTCTGCAATTGAAAAATCACCAGAATTAAGTCAACTTAAGAGAGGCAAATAATATATCCAAATAGTACTTTGGGTTGACCGGCAATAGATCTCCCTTGGCAGAGTTGTCTTCCCTCTAAATGGAGATGTACGGAATTGTTTTGTAAATGAAATGGAGCTTTTTTTTCTTCATAACTGTAAAATTCACATTTTTTTACAGATCTATGATGGCAAAGACAACACTGCTCACCTGCTGGGAGCATATACTGGGGCATCATTAAGAGGCCTGACACTAAGTAGTACTTCAAATCATTTGTGGTTGGAATTTAACTCAGACACGGAGGGCACCGATGAAGGTTTTCAGCTTGTGTATACCAGTAAGTATTCGAGAAAACAGTAGTAATAGACTTATGCTTTTAAAGGAATGAAAATCATAAGATGAAAATGCAGTTAAATGACAAATAGTGAAAAAATTAAGAGCAGATCACTCATCAACATAATACACTTTCATAATCATACCTCAAAAGACCCAAAACATGTAGCATACTTCAACCTTGCTTTGACAATCATTTGCATAGTCTGATACTTAAATCACTGTACTTTTTCCAGAGGGTTGTTTTTTTGAAGTAATTTTCAGTGTTGGAAAGCTTAAGAGAAATAGGGTAAGTTTCAGTTAATTGTGTTAGCACATAAAAATATTGAAGCATGTGACTATTTTTAAACTGTAACCAAAACACTTTGTTTTGTGAAGATAATTCATAACTAAAGGACATTCTCCCTCTTAAGACTAATGTTTGATACTTTGCATTTGTTTCTGAGCTTGCATTGTTGTTTAGAATCATCCAATTTGGAACCAAAATAATAAAGAAAGGTTCCTAATAAAACCTTCTTACCTATATGTGGACTGACAAAATTAAACTCTAAACATGAGGAGAGGGAAAGCCTTTTCATGTCTCTGGCTTAGAGGGTGTATAGAAGCAGCTATACACATCTATTTTATCAAGTGTTGGCTTCTGAGAATGTATGTGATTGTTGTATGTGACTATTGACATGTATTGTGTATGACTTTTTTTAGTGTCTAACTATTTCATCATCACTGAATTATTATATAAACTGAATTTTTATCAAGCAGGACAGTATTATAAGGTAACTCTGCAGCTATCAACATCCTTTTTTCCCCTGTGCTTAAATAATTATTTTTCACTTGTAAAACTGTTCTTTTGTTTCAAAAACTCTACATCATGTTTTTAAAACTAATTCTAATAAAAAACAACATAAGTCTTGCAAAATGAAAGGAAAATGTTTCAAGATACTGGAGAGTATGTAATTATTTTCAAGGTGAAAGTTGCATAATTATACCCTGTAGTAGCATGTGATAGCATAGGACTGTACCCTATGATTAAAGATAGACCTTTTGATGCTGTGTTACCATATAAGTTTCAAGGTATTTGATTTTTCTTATTTATATAGGTATATTCAAACCCAACACTTGAACCTTATCATTAACATTTTCTGTCTTTTGAAACAGACATTCTTATAGAATACACTTTCCTAGCCTGAATAGTTATTAGCCTGAAGAGTGCTGAATCTTTTTTTTGTTGGTATTGGTAGAATTGGAAGAGATAAAGTCCAGATGAGGGCCATGAAGATGATCAGAGGGCTGGAGCACCTCTCCTATGAAGACAGGCTGGGAGAGATGGGGTTGTTCAGCCTGGAAAAGAGAAGGCTCTGGATAGACCTTATAGCACCTTCCAGTATCTAAAGGGAGTCTACAAGAAAGCTGGAGAGAGATTATTTACAAGAGCATGTGGTAATAGGACAAAGGGTAATGGTATTAAACTGAAAGAAGGTAGAGTTAGATTAGATACAAGGAATAGTTCAGTCTGAACTCTGTCTGGGTGGATGCATCAGCCAGGGTGGATGGTGCAAACCCTCCATTCAGAGCTGCAGCCTCTGCTCTCAGATGAGTGCCCACCATTCTACCTTGAGGGTCAGGTAGGATGAGTGCTTTTGGCTTGTGCAGATGGTCACAGAGTGGTGCCAGTCTGCTGGGTTATGTGGGCTTCAAGTCTCTCTGCTGAGCCAGTGGAATGTTCACCCTTTCAAAGAAGTGTTCTCCCTGTGTGTCCTCCTGCACAAACTGCCCTGCCATGCCCTGGCTGAGGCCTCACACCCCCTTTGCCTGCACTGGTCACGGTGCTCCTGATCATACACACTTAAGGCAGCAAAAGTGCTTCCAGTACCCACAGTTAGGAAATGCAGTTACATGTTCACCTTCAAGAGGAACTTGATCAGTTATTAAAAAGTTTACTTTGATTCTGTCTATAAGCAAGCTGTCCAGAGATGAGGAAATCTCAGGGATCAAGGCAGATTTTAACTTCTTTTCACAGTGTGATCAGCAGTTTTCTTAGAAGACAGGGAATTCTAACTGATGAACATTATCAAAAACGGTTCTTCATCTGGAACTCACTTTAGCCTTTTTCAGAGCTTCTTCAGCACACTCTGTACTAGGAAAAAATAATTTAGGAATGAGAAGAGTTTAGCTCAAAGGTTGTGAAGACTTCAATAAGTGAGGCATTTTCAATCACACATTAAATGAGCTGAAGGAATAACTGTAAGGATACAGAATTTGATATACCTTTTTTTTTTACCCTTATGTAAGCAAACATTCTCATCCAACATGAAGCATTTTCTCTGTAAAATAAAATAAAGAACATTTTTTTAAATCAATAATTCTCAATATCATCGTTATAAATGATTCCTGCATGTAGTTCTTAAATTTACAATCTACTGAGCACAAAATTAGGGTAGGGATTGATGAATATAACAGTATTTCTTTGGTGCCACAGGTGCTATTGTGCTGCTGTTGTTACTCTGCAAAATAATGGCAAACAAATCTACTGTTCAATTTTATTTATAAGCCTTTAAATGTCTATTCACAACTAAATGGACAGTCACTTTAGCTGCCACTTTATAATTATCATATCATTTTAGAACTGATTGATAATGATAATGAATTTTCTTCTCAATCTTTAATTGAACTCAGGAAAAATGAAGTTCTGAGAAGTTCTGACACACTTTGTCTTCCATGTTCTAAGAAAGGTGTATAGACAGTTATCCTACTTAGACTGCTCAAAACTATAGAAGTGGTTTTAACCTAAATATGTTGTTACAAGGAGTTTGGAAATTATTGATTTCCACTGGAATAGAGAAAATCTGAATTTCATTAAGTATTTATCTGTTTGATTTTGTAACTACAAATTTATTCTCCCACAGGTTTTGAGCTTTCACACTGTGAGGACCCTGGTGTGCCACAGTTTGGATATAAAATCAGTGACCAAGGCCATTTTGCTGGGAGTACTATAATTTATGGATGCAATCCAGGTTACACACTACACGGAAGTAGCCTGCTAAAGTGTATGACTGGGGAAAGAAGGGCATGGGACTATCCTCTGCCATCATGTATTGGTATTAGACTCTTTTTTATTATTATCTCTTTATTTATTTAGGCTATTTTTTGAATGCAAAACCCAAAAAATTGTAAGAATCGTTAGATCTATGATTTGTTTACACAGGCATTTATAGTTCTCATCTAAGTCTATGTGAGTGGTGTTGCCTTTTTTAGGTTTAAAAAAGATAGTAAATATTAAACATTTTTGCATACTGAAAATCCTAATGCATGAAAATCTAGTTATACTCAGCAAATAATCAATATAAAAAGACAGCTTAATCAGAAAGCCAGGACCATGTATGTTTCATAAGTATTTTTTTTTGCTAATTATATATAAATATCATTAAGCTAGAAAACTTTTCATATATTTACATAGAATACTGTAAAATACATAAAAACCAAATACATTAATATATGAAGAGATATAGAGTTGTTTTGTGGGGTTTGTAATTTCTGTTTCTTTACAATATTACTATTATAACTTTATAAGTTTTGCAAGTACCTACAGGCTCAATTACTCCCATAGGAGAGTGAAGAGAGACAAGTCTTAAATATTACAGTAGCTTTCTTTCTTTTTCATAGTCTTTTAGAGGAATATGAGTGAGTAGGGGAAGCAAAAGGTGTAATGCAGTTCTTATATACTCTCTTACAATATTAGGGCATGCAGTCATTAATTGTGCTGTTCAACAAGAGAGTAGATGTATAAATTGATTTCTCACATGATTAGCTGGAATACCATTACATAATGGGTTTTTTTGTTAGCTGAATGTGGAGGCCGTTTTAAAGGAGAATCATCTGGAAGAATCTTATCTCCTGGCTATCCTTTTCCCTATGACAACAACCTGCGTTGCATGTGGGTGATTGAAGTAGACCCAGGAAATATTGTCAGGTACTGAAAACAAGTCTTACAATTATAACAAATGTTTTTGACTATAATAACCAAATCTTAGCTCTAGAGTGGAGAAAAAAAGGGATTTTGGACTTAAAATTTAAGGTGCAACTCAAGACCAGTGTTTTTGGCATTTTAGGTTTGGGTTGAAACTGTCTATCTTTAAAAAAAAATTTACTAAAGATCAAGTTTAAAAAATGCTTATAATTTTGTGAAATGCTGGAGGCAACAGAACTCTTTAGTGAAAGACTACATTAAAAAAATAACCCTGCATTTTAGCAGTTCTTTTTAGTTGGACATTTATTCACACTACATTGCTAATTGCATGATTTTACAGTTCTAGTTAATTTGTTTTGATGGGAATTTGATACATAATATTGTCTTAGGAAAACTGAAACTCTCTTTTGAAAAGACTGTGTAGATTACTTATAGATTATATGAATGGCTAAAGTAATACGTTATTTCATAGTGGATAAATTCAAATATTGTTAGTTTTTTTCTTTCAAATGCTTTTTAGTATTGGCCTTTCATGCATTCAAAGATAAATGTGTGAAGCATTATAGAAAATCACCCTTAGAAATTAAATTTTATTTATTTTTTTCTTTGTTTAGTTTTGTTGTTAAAGTTGTATTGTTGGGTAATATGAAAGCTGACAATGAAATCATGGTGTTCTTTCAGCCTCCAATTTCTTGCTTTTGATACTGAAGCATCCCATGACATCCTACGAGTTTGGGATGGTCCACCTGAGAACGAGATGTTACTCAAAGAAATTAGTGGCTCACTTGTTCCTGAAGGCATTCACAGTACACTCAACATAGTAACTATCCAATTTGACACAGATTTTTATATCAGTAAATCTGGATTCGCCATACAGTTTTCAAGTAAGTTGATTAATTTAATTTTAAAATTATTTTATAAGATAGTTCACTTACAGATAATTGTAGTGCTGGAAACACTTGAAACAGTGACAACATTTCTGACTTTTTTAGGGAAAGAATTGGCACAGGCTTATAGATTTCTTGTAAAGCTATATTTTCATCTTAAAAAAAACCAAAAACAAAACCAAAAAACCTAAACCAATAAAATACCATGTTCTTTGCTAGTTTTGGCTTTGTTTCAAGAGCAGCTGGGGCAGTGCCAGAATGCTCATAATTATGACTAGTGTTTTTCGCAAAGGAGGTTATGTAGGCATGTTAAAAGCTCCATCCTTTTCTAATCAATAAGAGTTTCTGCTTTCAGAGACATCTGTGGGGAGTTTTCATTCCTGCTGTGCTTGTGTAGGACGAAATAGGAAAGAGCACTACAGGAACAGCAGTGCCCTTCTCCCTTTTGCCTTCTGGTGCTATATCATCTTATTACAGGCAGCAGGATGACAAATCTAAACAGTTACTTAACTGTTATTAAATCCCTTTAGACATTTTATTGCTGAAACAGAAGAAATCATTGAGCGAGGTCCATTTTGACCTTCTTTTTCCTCTGGTCAGTGAAATTTATATATATTTTTTCAAGAATAGCAAGCTCTATTCCAATATTATCATTTTGTGTAGCAGTAGCAATTTTTCTAACATGGGATGACACAGAGACTCTTAGTGTTAACACTATTTACCTCGTTGTGCTTTCTGTGCTTGGTAGTTGTATTAGCCTTTGTTTTACCCTATCCTTATTCTTTCTGTGTGTATGACAAATACATGTGTGTGCATACAGTAATTTGAAGAAAGAATGAATTATGTAAATGAGAGTAAAAAGTGAAAGAGTGCTACTGCTCCATCACCTGGTTTTTGAAGCCATGAATAGAGCTTTTACTCCCTTAGTTCCAAGGTATTATTACCATTTTACCACCTTACCCCTTCCAGAGCCTGTTTGGGAGAGTCTCACATATCTGCTTTCCATTCTCAGATATGCTCTTGTTTAATGTTGAGGCCAGAGAGAGAGTGGGAACACCATTATGCACAGAACTTATTCAGGCAGTCATTAAGGTTCAATGGAAAAATAAATTGATATAGAATAAAAATGGAATTAAGAATAAGAATGGAGTTACAATGCAAAATGGATGGTACATGGGATCAATGCTATAAAACAGCTACTGATGCATTTGCAGTGATCTATCTTAAAAGAGGGTTGGAACTTCATCTGAACAGAGAGGCTTTTTATTTAATTCTCCGTGCTGTTACAGTCTGTTGAGATCTAATGATGACAGTTTAAAGGATCCATGAAGTTTTACTGCCTCAGCATTTCTCTTACTCTTCAGTCCAGATTTTCAAAATCACTGTGATCCTTCTCAAAATACACAGGTTTGGGTGTATATTCTTAGAATAACAGAGGTTCTTTTTTTTTTCCCCTAAGTTAAGGTTTTAAAAATAATGTGCAAATAGCTACACAACCTGAATAACACTGTTGCTGTATGGAGATGGGGGAAAGAGACGTGTAATTCTTTGCAACTTTGTTTCAAGTATTCATATACTTCCTTTGAGTGTGTAATGTTGTCTGAGTGAAACAGATGGTGTCTTCATACTTTAGCTAGAGTGTAATTAACAAACAGAAAGCTCACACAGGGGAGGTATCTGCTTTTACTTTCCTCTTGCCATTTTGTGAAATTGGATAAGAGTATTTAACAGGATTATCGTCCCTTTTACCTCTAGAGGAATGTCATTCAATGACAACAGATATTTTATGTTCAAACCTTTTTAAGACTTTGATTGCATTATTTTTTCTCTATTATTTTCTTTTTCTTAAACAAAAAATGTTTCAAAAATGGATTAACCTCCTTATTAGTTCCTTACAGTTTTATATTTCATTTTATCAACTGTTCTTACACAATTTTGCGTCTGTCATTTACTGAAAGAGCGAAAATTTTCACCATTGATAGCATGGTATAATTTATATTTGACTATTTTATAAGCCATCCAATACATGCAGAAAAACTATTTGTATCTGTAACACAGAGGAGAGATAGCATCCTTCACCAAATTAAAGGGGGAAAAGTGGAAGAGAAAGCCTAGAGAAGCTGAAACTTTGTATAAATAGTAGAAATAAAATTATTATTATTTTTATAAATTACAGTTGGTAATATTAGAATTCTGTCTATCTAGGGCTGCCCAAAACAATCCTTTAAAAGGCATACAGTTGTTATTAATTTTGTAAAATTTAGAGCATCTGAAGGAAAAAGGTTTCACTATGAGATTTTTCTTGCCAATTGCGTCAATTAGTGTGTTTTGTTTCTTTCTTTTTGTTAGGGTGCCTTTTTGGGGAGAAAAAAAAATCAAAAGGTTATTTTTGTTGCTTTTGTCTGAAATAGTAGAACTATCTTGATGATTTAAACATTCATAGTCTCTGTAAGAAAATAATCATAGAATTTTAGAATGGTTTGGGTTAGAAGGGACATTAAAGATCATCTGGCTCCAAACCTCCTGCCATGGGCAGGGACAGCTTCCACTAGACCAGGTCGAACACCTTGAACACCAGCCTTGAATACCTCCAGGGATGGGGCAGCCACAACTTCTCTGGGCAACCTGTTCCAGGGCCTCACCACCCTCACAGTAAAGAATTTCTTCCTAATACCTAATGTAAACCTACTCTTTTTCAGTTTCAAGCCATTACCCCTTGTTTTGTCATTACATACCCTTGTCAAAAGTGTTTCTTCATATTTTCTGTAGGCTTCCTTCAGGTACTGGAAGGCCACAACTAGGCCTTCTGGGAGCCTTCTCTTCTCCAGGCTGAACAATCCCAATTTTCTCAGCCTTTCCTCAAAGGGGAGATGTTCCAATCCTCTAATCGTCTTGGTGACCCTTCTCTGGATTCGGCCAAACGGGCCGATGCCCTTCCTGTGCTGGGGACCCCAGAGCTGGATGCAATACTCTAGGTGGGGTCTCACAAGAGTGTAGTAGAGGGGCAAGAGTGGAATAGAGGGGCAAGAAACTATTTTATGCTGAACTTCTAAGAAATATTGGAGACTGTTTCATGGTTGACAAGGACAAGTTTTCTTTTTTAATACGATTGTGCATTACTCTGAGGGCAAGAAGGGAAAGTGATAGATTTCAGATCAAATAAGGAAACTCAACCTGATTGTGCTTCTGTACTTTCCACCACTATCAAGTATCGAGGACTAGTACAGCTAGTTTATACATCCAATGTAAACAAAGAAATAAATGACTTTGCATCTCATCACTAGGCAGAGCAGCCTCGTAGTCTAATGTTATCTTTTATGTCTTTCATTTTCTTGTTGGACATCTGCAAATGATCACTACAGAATCTCTTAAATTAAACTGCACTCTCCTTTGCGATGAGAGTAAGGTAACATGCTAGAAAACAGAGCCCACAAATCCAGAAAAACAAAGTACCGAAAGATGTGTAATAAAGCAGAATATTTTAAAAACTTTGTATATATGTGTAAAAGGAAAATAGGAACCTCTGATGATTCAACAGTGGGATTGCAATGTGAGGATTTTGGAACATGTCTAAATGGCATGTATAGATTGAATAATGTAGCTATAGAGAAAAGGTGCCAGAGGTCTATCCTTAAATTGAGAGAAGAGTGAAAGTCTGATAACAGGACAGAAGCAATATGCAAACAGGAAGTACCTGTTACAGCATACTTTCTCTGAACTGTCAGAGACAGAACGTGAGGAGCCCAACAGGCACTGGAAAAACACCAATGAAATCAGCAGTAAAATCTTTTGATCAGTAAATTCTGCACAAAATAGAAAATTAGACCATCAAGAAAAATGAAGGAGAAAGAGAAGGATACAATTATGTATTTGCCAGAGATATGAGTTGTTGGGATATGCCGAAATATTAGTCATAATGAAACATGCCTAAACAGGGTTAGGCCAAAATATTAGGCATATTGAAACATTTTTTTTAGCTGACATTGTGTCATGTCAGTCAGCTGAGAAATAAGACAGAGAACTGAAAATAGTTGGGTAAGAACACTAATGTGTAAAACATTCAGTGATAAGAATTCTGTATATGTTTAAAATAATCTGTTTAATTCATTTAATATGTGTGAAGTGTGTAATATGAGAAGAAATTGGTGAGATTCTTTCCACAGATTGTAAGGGCCTTTGAATCTGTTATTACAGGGAAGTTTCCTCTCTGCTAACTTTATCATTTCAGGTGCCAATTATCTTTTATTCAGAAATTAAGGATCTGTATTCATCTTTCATAGGCCATTATTTCAGTGCTAATAGCTGCATTACTGAGTCGCTCATCATTACAGAATACATTCGGCTCAGGTCTAGGAGTGTAGTCACGTTTCTGCCCAATTAAACAGCACAAAATATAGAGCATTTTTTGAGCATTATAAGGCAGCCAGTGCAAAACTAACCTGTAAACATGTTTTGAGTGTTGGGAGGTTTTTTGTAAATAGATACTCCAACAGTATTTTATATCATGTGACAGCAATTTCTTATATAACAGGATATGCCTTAAAATGCTTGGATTTACTGTCAAACTCCAGCTGTCCCTCCTCATTTTAAGAGTGGGTGAATAGCCCTTTGGAATTACTTGTCACTATACACTACAGAAAAAAGCCTAGAACATTTGAGACAGATACCTACATGGATGGCTTAAGTTTGGCAATATTAATTTCCAGCCTAAAATTTAATGCATTATATTGCTTACTTTGATTGCTGTAAAGATTAAATGCTTACAAGTCAGCTTTTTATATTTATGGTTAGTGGTGATTTATAACCACAGTGTCTTCTAAATGTTTTGTGTTCAATTTTTTTCCATTTTGCTTGGATATTTTCTTTGGTGTATTTTTTTGGTTGGTTGGTTGTTTTTTTTATTGTTTCGTTGTTTTTGCTGGTTTTTTTATTGTTACTGTTTTTTGGTGTTTGCTTTTTTTTTTGTTTAAAGACATATTCATCACAGCTACATTCTT